TTCCTGGGGGGTTGGAGATTTAGCTCAATGGTGTCATGCCTGCCTCAAAAGTACAAGGTCCTGAGTTCGATCCCCAGTACTGGAACAAAACAAAACAGAACAAAAAAATAATTCCTGGGTTGATGTTTGTAAATTGCTTATGGCAGGTAGATTTATTTCTAGTATTTAGAACTCTTAGGAAATGACTACTTCTCAGAGATGTTTTCCAGGTATAGCTGGCTTTTGGGTTTTGAGTCTTTTGCAAGATTGTATTTCTTCAATTTATTGGGGATGAAAAGTTGCTACCTATTTGGTCCTGCCCCTGGTTCTTTGGCACTGACCTATAGTATTGTTTATGACCCTCAAACAACCTCAGTCTTGGTATATACCAGGAAGAACAACTGATTAGAACAGTTATGTCACCTTGGCTAAAGTAGTACAATCAGCAATAGCAATAGCATGAAACACAGCTTAGAAAATGACAAACTGTGATAACTATTAATTTGCCACTTTTAACCATATGAACTATATTTGTGGTTATATAAAAAAATCTAAAACAAGCCAGAAAATTATATACAATAAATGTGCCCTCAATATGGTGATTTTACCCTCAAGGGAGAAATTTTAAAAGGGGTTAAGAGGAAAAAAATACAGTAGAAGAAGAGGAAGAGATTAGAAGCAAGGCTGGAGGACAAAGAATGATTATGCAAACTTTGGGAAACTGGTGAAGAAGACAGAAGGGTAAGAGAAAAAATAAAAACAAGTAACAAAAAAAATAAAAAATAAAAACAAGAAAAGAAGAAAACAACCCCAACAAAAAAACTAGAAACAATGTTCACATTCATATAAAAACAAGAACAAACAGGAAAAAAGAAAACAAGAACAAAAGAGAAAAGAAAACAAAAGAAGAAAAGAAAAAACAATGGCCACTTCAGGGCATGTCTCTGCTGTCACTGGTAGACAGAGTAGGCAGACAGAGCCCAGATCCATGTTGATTAACCCCAGCAACCCAGCTGCAGTTTTACACCAGGGTAATGGATAATGCCAGCAAACCCACACCTTTAGTTCCACTGAAGTTCAGGCTGGTTTCTAGCTGTGAAGCTGGAACTCAACTTGTTTTTTTTTTTTTTGGTACCGGGGATCAAACTCAGGACCTTGTGCTTGCCAGGCAGGCGCCAGAACCACTGAGCTAAATCCCTGGCCCTAGAACTCAATTTGTTGAGCTTGCAACACTCTGTGTGCCTCTTGCCAGCTTGAACTTGGCTCCCTGCTGGCTTGAACTCAGCTCCTTGACCTTCTGCCAACTTGAACTCTATTCCCCTCACCCTGACACTGGGAGCCACTAGATGGAGCCAGCCCATAGATTGCCCTCTCCTGGGGGATGTCTGAACCCAAAGAACTCACCAGCCTCTTTGGTCTGCTGTGTCCACTGATCTGTTCCACTGGTGTGTTCCTCCGTGGAGGTCTCTGGGGTCACCAGTAGTCACTGTGCATCTCCAGGTTTGAGCTGCCCCTCCCATGCAGTGAGTCAGGGCTCAGGCAGAAAGCACGGTTTGCCACCTCCTCCTTCTGTGTTGAGGTCTCTGTCTTCACTCTCCCTGTGGACTTCAATTCTAGCTTCAGATCCTTGCTGGGTCCCAGGGACCCACTTCCCTTCTTCTCTTCCTCACATTGCTGTATTCCAGCATCTGGACACCAATTCTCAGACCGTTTCTCTGCTGTTCACCACTCCGCTATCTTCCTGGAAGTATTTTAAAAAGTTTTTTTTAAAGACCAGGGTCTCACTATGTAGTTCAGGCTGACCTTGAACTCACTAGCCCAGGCTGGCCTTGAACTTACAGTGATCCTGCTCCCTCCCTCAGCTTCCCAGTGCTGCGATGACAGGTGTGCACCACCATGCCTGATAATCCTGTTGGCTTTGTCAGGAGGAAAAGGCAAGTGAATGTTTGCGATTGATTTAGGGGATGAATAATGTACCTCATGGAGAACAAGGAAAAGATCTACAGATTGGGCAAGGATATCTCACTCCCAAGAAGTCACGCAAGCTTCGAGCACAGTTGGAGCAAGGACCAGCAACGGCTGGATGACATCATGCATTGAGAATAGGATAGGGCCAGGGATTTAGCTCAGTGGTTTCATCGCCGCCTCTGCAACAACGAAGTCACCACTCCCACACCCAGGAACGAAAAAAAAAAAAATGGACAATACGAGACAAACCGCCACGCCCCCACACAGAAAGGGCCACGCACGGCACACGAACCCCGCTCCCCACCACCTACCAACAACAACACGGCACCAGAGGCAGAAGCCACACCCCAGAGACACAGAGGCCACCCCAAAACACCCGAAACCAACTCCCCCATCCCCAGAACACGCGAGGCGCACAAGTCACACAAGAGACCCACGAAACTCAATGCCAGGCCAAGCCCAGAATCCAGTCCTCCCCAAGCCTGCCGCCCCCCAGCCACCGTGGCCCACTCCCGGGAGGCAAGAACACAGATCGAACCCAAAGCCTAAGCACGGACCTACACCACCACACCCCAATACCAGGGGCAGACAGCCTACCCGAAAACAAACAAAGACCCGGAAACAACAGCCAAAGGAGCGAAAAAAACAAGCGCCCGACAACACAACGGGCCCAGAACAACAGGTCGCCTCGGAGCACGTCACAAAAACAATAAAACCCACTCCCTAGGTACCGTAGATGGTGGGAGACAGGACACAATGAGCCACTCCACGCGCACCCGCAACGCCACAAGGAGCCCAAACACCACCCAAACCAACAACCCGCCTCCCTCAAACTCCCGAACACGACCATGAAACCACCCCACCACAACCCCTCACCACCCCACCCATGACCCAGCCCTCTCAACAACAGCGCTCAGGCACAAAGAACCCTGCTGGGAGCATTTCTCCATACATCTTGGGGAAAATCATTTCATAATTAAAGTATGACTATAGCTGTCTAAGGCCTGATGTCGCCTTGCCCGAGAGCGGCCGGCTACAGCAGGCAGAAATATGGCTCCGTTTTGCCTCTGGTCACAGCTGAGGGCTCAGAGGTCTGTGAAGCTGTGGCCTCAAAGGCAAGATAGCATCAGCTGAAGACGTCCTGGTTCCTCGAGAACCCAGTAGTAACATAGAAGAGAAAGGTTTCACCTGGGGAGGGAGGCGTTCCTTATCAGCTCAGCTCATCCCACCCACTGAGGTAGGAATGCTCTCCTGTCCGCCCTCAACAGCATCAGCCCCCAGGGCCCCCGATGCTCCCTCCAATTACTGTGTGCACCCAATAAATAGTGGCCAGCTCGGAGAGTCCTTGCCTTTGCCCGCTCTGAGGCACTGACCTCCCAGCCCCCATATACTTTGAAATTACGCGAGTCCGTGTTGTCTTTTTTCTTTGGCTCTCGCAGCCCCCCTTCCTAGGCAGTCGGAGGAAATCGGCCTCCAATATACCTCAAGGTGTGCTAAGTGCTCAGGGTAGACCTTGGGGACGGGCACGACCCAAGCTGGGCTGGGCCAAGTGGGGTACGAAGCTGGCCAGTAGTTCTGTGTGACCCTGGTGACCCCCAGTGGTGGCAGGGCCAGCACTGTCGCTCTCTTGTACATCCCTAGTGTGCAGCACAGTGGGTGACCCAAGGGAGGCACCAGGGGATGTTCAGTGGCCATGGCCCAGTGGAGGAAGGCTGGACACTCAGGGCAATTGAGTGGGCTGCACAGCAGGAGCTTCCAGTGCAACTCAGTGAGGTCCAGGTTATTTGGCGCCAAGCTGCCAACCTGTGTTCTGGTTTCTACCTGGGTGTCCCCAAGCCTGGGGTGCTCACAGGGGGTCTTCGGAAGGTGATTGGGTCACCAGGCTCACAGCTCACTCGCTGTTAGGAGGTGGGGCCTATTTGGAAGAGAAGGGTCCGTGGGCGTGGCCTACAGGGAGCACCTCTCTTCTCGCGGTTGGGGGGCGGGGCCTGGTCGGAAGAGGCGTGGCCTGCAGGGTGTATCTCCCTCCCGGCTCCTCCTTTCTGGCTCTGAGCGCTGTGAAACCCTCCTCATCCAGCTTCTCACGCCCAGGTTCCGCTGAAACTCTGAGTTCCCCAGGGTCCTCGACCTCTTTCTGTGCAACGGGGACAGTGGCCTGACAGCTAGGGTTGTGCAACTCATGTGTAACTGAAGTACTACTGATGGAGAACAAAGCCAATTTACTTGAACGCGCACGCGGGGGGTGGTGGTGGTGTTGGTTTGCTGCTGAGATGACGCAGGCCGCACATGGGCACCGCGAGCCAGGTGAAAGGTGCGAGGGAGCTGATCATGCTGTTCTCTCCGTTCTGGGGATAAGGGGCCCTCGGTAGGGAGATTTAAGAATGTGGACGCACTGGGTACTCCAATGGTGGAAGGATGTCATTGCACAATTTGCTCAGAACTCAGAAGCCACAACATGAAAGTAGGAGCTCGGTCCTTGCTCAGTTTTGCTGTGACCGTAAACTGACTCTACAAAGAGCAAGTCTCTGGAAGGCACCAGCTTAGGGCTGAGCTCTCCTCACTTCCTGGGCTTCATTTTCTTTTCTTTCTTTGATTTTTGGTGGTACTGGGTAAGCCAGAGCCTCGCACATGCCAGGCCAGCACACTGCACCCCAGCCCCTCTTGCCTGATCCGGGCATCTGAGCCACTTCTTCCCTGGGGGGCTTCTAACTCGACATCTGCCCGCCCCTAGAATACTTTCACCTTTGTTTCGTGAGACAGAGTCTTGGTATGTAGTCTAGGCTGGCCTTGAACTCACGATGATCCTCCTGCCTCAGCCTCCTGAGGGCTGGGATGACAGGTGTGCGCCACAACACCCAGCTTTACTTTCATTTCTTGCAGTCTGGTTTCCCTGGGGCTGGCAACACTTTCTGCTGCTGCCACAACAGAACTCCTAAGGCCAACAGTGTGACACTGCCACCACCAGGATGCCGGCAGTGTCCTGATTGCTCCCATCCAGAATACCAAACCACCTTCTCTTCTTCATCTCTACCCAGATACTTCTGCACCCTCAGTTTTGTTTATTTATTTATTTTTGGTCTTTTGAGAAAGAGTCTCGCTACATAGTCCAGGCTGGCCTCAAACTCATGGGGATCCCCCTGTCCCAGCCTCCCGAGTGCAGGGATGACAGACAAGCGCCAGCACAACCGGCTGCACCCCGTTTTACTTCCTATCCCAGTCCTTGCAGGCCCACACGTCCCAGTCCTGGCTCTGAATGGCGCCACCACTGGTCCCCGTCACTGTGGGGTGTGGCTGCGGGGCTGGGGACACAGGCTGTCTGCTCAGCCTCCTGACTCTGCTGTGGACCACAGGTTCATTAAGAGGCCACCTGGCGGGTGGCCTCCCCACACCACACGCTGCTGCCACTCGCCATGCCAGAGACTGCTCCCAGGCCCCTCCTGCTGCAGGGCAGGGATGGGCAACCCAGGGCCCTTGCAGCTGGGCCCTCAGGGTGGAGGGGAAAGGCTGGGAGGGGCAGGCCTTAAGGCCAGCTTGAAGGAGGACAGAGGTACCTGGGCTCCCATGCCAAGTGCACCTGGAGGCCATGTGGTCACGCCAGAGCCTCGGCTGGGCCAGGCCAGGCCCCGAGCTAGCCAGCCACACTTCGCCGTGGGATGCAGCCCTCCATCTCCAGTGCCTCAGGCCAGCCCTCGTACTTGTTGGTGTGCTTGCTGTTCTTCACGTGCTGCAGGGACGGGATGGGACGGGATGGGACGGGGACAGTCTGTGTGTGGGCTCCTGGGCTGCCACTGCCAGGGAGAGGGAACAGTGCAGAGTGGAGGGAGCATGCATCCCCGCTACAGGGAGCCCAGGCACCTGCAGCCAGAGCAAGGCCCCAGGGCAGGGCAGCTCCAGCCTCCTCCCTTTTTTTTTCTTTTTGGCTCTTTTGAGCCAGGGTCTCACTCTGTAGCCCAGGCTGGCCTCAGACTCAGGACAATCCTCCTGCCTCAGCCTCCCAAGTGCTAGGATAACAGGCGTGTACCATCTTGCCCAACTTCTCAAGCTGCTTCTTCATCAGCCAGAGCCTTTTCGAAATGTGTTCATGTGTCGTGGAGAATAGAGTTTAGGGGTGCTATGGCTTGGTCCCGGCCAGGAGCCTCCCCAAAGCGAGGCTGGCACTCGGGGCTCTCTTGCTGCCCAGCCCAAACACAGGGTCTGACATGTGCAACCCTGGAGTGCAGAATGTGGAGCATGGTGCAGGCCAGGGACCCAGGGCTTCGGAGGCCTCGGGTGGGCTTGTGCATCTCAGAGATGTTGGAAAGGATGGTTTTTGGTTGTGACTTTGCCAATATGCAAACTTTGTCATTTCAAGACCCTTTAAAAGCCAGGTGTGGTGGCACATGCCTCTGTCATCCCAGCCTTTGGGAGGCTGAGCCAGGAAGATCACCATGAGTTTGAGGCCAGCCTGGCCTACAGAGTGAGTTCAAGGCCAGCCTGGACTACATAGCAAGATTTTGTCTCAAACAAACAAACAAACAAACAAAAAACAAAACAAAAGACCCTTTAGGGTCAAACACATTCGAGAAGCCAATAAATGTTGCTATGGACAGAAGGGGCACCTGGGAGGCAAAGGCAGGGTTGCTGCTGTACCTGCTCAAAGGGGCTCTTGTTCTGCACGCCCTTGGCCCCCACGAACACCCAGCTGTCTCGGAAGGCCAGCTCCTTGGCGTTCCTGCTGCCTAGCTCGCTGAAGAGCTTCCGGGTCTCCTCATTCATCCTGCCACACAGCCGGAAGACAGGTGAGTCTGGGCTGTCACTGTGAGGCCAGGCTCAGGATCCCCTGGCAGGCACTTACTTGGTGGCTGGGTCGTCATAGGATGCCACGAACACCAGGGTGCCTTCGTGCAGGGGCCTGATGAACTTCAGCAGGTTGTTGACATCTGGGATGTGCGTGGCCCACAGAACACGGGGCTTTAGGTCCAGCAGCCCAGCCCTTCCTCAAAGCCCTCACTCCCATTGAGGAAAGCAAGACAGGACTGGGCGGGGAAAGGTCTCATCAAGGGACAAACTGGCCAGAAGCACAGCCTGTAGTCCTGGCTGGCGTCACCTCCCTCACCCCGAGCCCAGGGCCACTTAGGGTGGAAGATGCTGGCCACACTCACCTCCGGCCCACATGTCAAAGGCCCGGGCCTCAATGAGCTCGCCGCTCACCCCTGCGTCAGAGAAAGACAGGGACCTTCTGGGTGACCCACAGTGCCATTTGTACCACCCACTCAGGGGCACCATGGGTGGCAACTGGCAACTCTTCCAAAAGCTCTTTTTTGCTTTTTTGAGATGGGGTCTTCCCATGCAATCCATGCTGGCCTTGAACTCACTCTGTAGCCCAGGCTGGTCTCAAACTCATGGCGACCCTCCTGCCTCAGCCTCCCAAGTGCTAGGGTAACAGGTATGCACCATGGTGCCTGGCTTCCAGAGCTTTGCAAACACTCCCCTCCTTATCCCTTTGTTCAGATAGGCACAGCCCACCTGAAGCCACAGAGCTGGTGTGCATTTGGGGCCTGCATGTGGCTGCCTGCTTTGTCCATAGGTCACTTCCTCTGTGACCTTTCCTATAGCTCTGGGAGCTCCTGGAAGAGCACCCAGCAAACATGGTAGTATTTGGGGATGAGGAAGGGAGGGGTGGCATTGTGCGGGAACTCACCATTCACCAGGGCGATGTTCAGCCCACGGCCCACATTGTCCTTCACACTGCTCATGAGCCTGGCAGGGGACAGAGGCCACCATGGTCACTCAGGCTCTCTCCTCCTCAGGAGCCCTGCCCCACCTCTCGCCCCTGTGGGCCCTGAGCTCACATCTTGTCCTCCAGGCAGATCTTGGGCCCAATGACATTGGCGGCACCACTGACCATGCGGAAGGCGAGGTGCTCCTCGGGACATGGCTGGGGAAGGCCGCACTTGTACTTCCTGGCCCGTGGTTCTGAGCAAGGACAGAATTGTGACCCAGGGACCTGGCCCCAGAGTCACTTTAGATCCACCGGGTGGGGTATGGGCGAAACGGCTCAGCCAGGAGTTTGCAGGGCAGGGAACCAGCACAGGAGGGGCGTGGCTCTGGCCAAGGCAAGGGACACTTGCACAATGTCCTGGGGCGAGGTGACAGCGGCCCAGGAGGCAAGGGCTGGCTCCCAGGTCCCCAAGTCCCCCTAGTGATGGGGAGCCTCTGTATATTTGGGCTCCGAGCCCTGTTTCCTCTGCTCCTGTGCACAGGCCACAGCCAGCCATTCATCGCCCTAGAAGTGCAGCGCAGGGAGCTCACTGCTGGGGAAGGGGCTTCAGGCAAAGATACAATGGAAGTGGAGCGTGGCAGCTGAGGCAGGAAGATGCCTGTGAGTATGAGGCCAGCCTGAAGTACACAGTCAGTCCCTTTCTCAAAAAAACAAGAAAATAAAAAAGATATGCTGGAACCCCAACTCCCAGCACCTCAGAATGTGGCCTTGTTTGGAAAGACGGTCTCTGCAGATGGATTAGTAAGGATGAGGTCATGCTGCAGCAGGCTGAGCCCTTATAAAGGCAGACGTGACAAAGAAGGAGGTGGCCATGTGACAAGGAGGCAGAGATCAGCATGGTGCACCTGAGGCTGCAAGAACCTGGACCAGGCCTGAAGCCCCTTCCCCTGGAGCTTCAGACAGACAGGGCCACCTGGCGACACCTCCACTTCACATTTCTGCCCCACAGAACCGCGCACAGGCCAACCTGCTGCTCTTTGTTACGGCAGCCCCGGGACACTGAAATCCATTTTGGTATCCGAAGTAGGGTCCTTCTGTGTGGCTGTGGCTTTGGGGCTGGGACTCTTCAGGTGCACAGCAGAAAGGGCCTAGATTCCCTTTAAGAGATGGCTGGTAGAAATACACGCAGTAGCCACACCTGTGATCCCAGCACTCAGGAGGCTGAGTCAGGAAGATCCTGAGGTCAAGGCCAACCTGGGTTAGAATAGGGAATCCCCAGCCAGCCTGGACTACAGAACAAGACCCTGTCCAGAAAAAAAGAAAACAAAACAGCCAGGTGCAGGGGCTCGGGAGGCTGAGGCTGGAGGATCACAAGGTTGAGCCCAGCCCTGGGCAGCTTAGCAGGATCCTGTCTCAAAGAATAAACCTAGATCGGTGGTGAATGCACTCCTATCACTCGGGAGGCTGAGGCAGGAGGATTGCTCCAAGTTTGAGGCCAGCCTGAGCTACATAGAAAAAAAAACCCAAATAAATAAACAAATGAATAAATAAATTTTTTAAAAAGGGCCGGGGGTGTAGCTCAGGGCCAAGGCCCTGGATTCCATTCCCAGACCCCCAGTACCTGAGAGACACAGAGAAAGAATATCCGCTAGCAAGAAGGCAAGCAAGGGTGTGGCTGGGCCAGCATTTGCTAAAGAGGCTGGGCTGGGCATGGGCCCAGCAACCTGTCCTTCCCTTCTAATTCCTGCCTTCTGAATGGCGATGTCCATCCACCTGCCCCTGGGCTTTGCACAGTGCAGTGCAGGGAGCTCACTGCAGGGTCCACAGCTCAGCAGGCAGTGCTAGCTGTGTTTGGGGGAGATGGGGAGAACCACAACCCTGAGGGCCACACAGGAAGGAGTGGGGCGGGGACAGAGCCTTACCTGCAGTCACAGAGCTCTCGGGGCCTGTGGGGATGAGAGTGTTTCTGTTGGCGTGGCGGCCTCAGAGCCAGGCCTCCCACTCAAGGTTAAATGATACTCAGAAGCAAAACTGAACACCCCTTTTTTGCTCCTGGAAAGGGGGAAACTGGAGCCATAGAGTACTTCGGGGACCTGGCCTGGTCACAGGGCAAAGAGGACCCTCCCCACATGAGGGTCCCATGGAGAGCCTGCAGGGTGCCTCCCAGTGCCCTACTGACTTCCCCTGGCCACGGGACTGGAACTCAAGCTGTAGCGCCTGCCTGGCAGGAGGAAGGTGGCACTCAGTACCAGGAGATAGGCGGAGGGCAGCTGGGGGCAGCCTGCCAAGGAAGGGACCCCCACCTGGGACTCCACACTCACTGGTGAAGAGGTGCTGGATTCGAGGAAAGCCATCGCCAGGCCCACCCAGGAGGATGCTGACGATGATCCAGGTGAGACCCACAGCAACGACTAGGACCACGATGCGGAGGGGCCCTGGGGGGGGACAGACAGGCAGGCCTGCCTCAGGCACCAGAGAATCCTGGGGTGACCCCTGGCCTCTTGGACCAGCTCTCCCCTTCCCCCCAGGAAGCAGGGCCAGAGGACTGGCCTGTGCAGACCTCCTGCCATCCACCCGGCTCCAGTGGGGGGACTCTCAGGACCCTGCTGCCCCCAGAAGGGAGCCGGGTCCTCCTCCAGGGCACCTCCACCTCTGCCTGTGGGCCCTGGGACTGGCAGTGCCACCACCGGCCCCCCCTTCCCTCTGGTCCTGATGGGAAGCCCAGTGCTTCACCTGCTGCAAGCTAGGGCCTGCTCTCCCCTCCCTTCCCTGATTTCAGGCAGTGGAGACCGGGCTTTCTGTGCTCTGTCTCCTGGGTTCTTAACATCTCCATCTCGAGAAAGCAGAGCTGGAAAGCACTCCTCCTAAGCCACACCCCACCTTCTCTCCCCCTTCAACTTCTTCTTCCCCACTCAAACTCTTCCAAAGTTTTCTACACTTGCCCTTGCTGCTACCTCACCTCCCACCCTCTCCCCAACCTGCTCCAATCTGGCTCTGGCCCTATCATCCCAAACAGACAGCTTGGGAAGATCTTCGTGGTCACCCGTGGGCTCTCATCCTCCTTGACCTCTCAGTGGGCTACCCGTGCCCTCCTTCTAATAGAAATCTTTCACCACTGGCCTCCAAGACAGTACGCTGTCCCCACCCAATGCCTCTGGAGACTATGTGGCTTGATGATGTTCCTCTAGTCCCCACCTAAAAGCTGGACAGAAGTAGGCTCGGTACTGCACTGCTCCTAGTCTCAACCTGTGCCCTTTTCCGGTGATTTCATCCACCTAGGTTGGCACAAAGTGCCATGGAGCAATGACTCATTGTTTTCTAGCTTCAGCCCTGGCCTCTACAGCACCCACACCCTCAGCGTTTCTCACCCCCCATCTCCACTCGATTCGGATCAAGCTGCTCCCCGAGCAGGTCTGCACTCCAAGTCTGGATCCTACTTTCCACCTTCCCCGAGCTTGTCCCTCCAGAAGGTGGCAGCGACACCAGAGTCGCCCTCAGCTGGCATCCAACCCCTGAAGGGACCCTGCCTCTCCACTTGTCCCCAGCTGCCAGGCCTCCTGGGGCCTCTGTCGCACCTCATTCGCTAAGAAGCAGCCCACCAGCTCTGAGCTGGGTGAACTTGGCCACTCTCATCTTCATCTCATGGTCTGAATGGCTCAGGGGTGAAAGGACTTGCTCAAGGTCACAGAGTGAGTGAGTGCGCAAAGCCAGCGGCTCTCCCAGGCCCCTCCAGACACAAAGTCCGCACACCTGGGCCTCCTTCCGGCGCTCTGTGGAAGCCACCCACCTGCCAACCTCATCTCCAGGACTCCCGCTGGGCAGGGACCGCCGGCGGGTGCACTGTTTGGGGCCCGTGCGCTCTGGGGAAGACGAAGCAGAAGAGCAGGTTTGGGTGGGGTCAGAGAGCAGTTTGTGTTGGGCCCCCTCGCGGGACGGGCACGATCAGTGCTACAGCTTGTTTCTCCAAGTACTGGGGAAGACGGCGGCTCTCGATTGGGCTGACAGAGGCCTCCAGGATTGGGCTGTGGAGTGGTTCTCCGGGGGCTCGGGCCACTCCCGAGGCTGGCGAGGGCGGCGGGGCTGGCGGGGACTTGCCTGGCCGCGGGGAGACGAGGGCTCGGCCCGGGGATGCTCGGCGGGCCGGCCGTCCCCTCCTCCCGGCGAGGGGAGGCCAGCGAGTCGCGCAGAAGAGACCGGCAGGACCGGCAATGGCGGCCCAGGGAGGGGCCCCGCAGCCCTGGCCCCGCCGCCCCGGCCCCGCCCACGCGTGTCCCGCCCCGGAAGTAATCCTCGGCTCTTCTCGAGTGGGGGGGCCTCGCTTCCAGGCTTTGTGCCGTGAGGTCGGGTACCTGCCGCCCGGAGGAGGCGGGGCATCTGGCAGTAGTCAGGAATCGTTGTGAGTTGCTGGACCGCGGGAGGTTCAGGTGGGGAAAGCCGCGGAATCCGAGGGGCTGGGGCCAGGCAGGGTGAGCCTGGGCAGCCTTCCTTCCCGGGGTGTGTTACGTCCAGAAGCTGCACGCGTGAAAGCCTTTGCCTGCCCCTCCGGCCTGAGCTCTGGCCCGAGTGTACCCTGACTGCTCGGTGCCATCTCTGTCCTTTGACCCCATGATCGCCCCCGAAATGATCCAGAGCACCAGGCACACAGCACTCACACGCAGTCCCCTTACGGTGCAGTCAGGTGTGGGTTTGGTTACTGAATTTGGTGGACTCTTAGGTATCTCTGGTGCCAAACTGTGGGCACCGTGCCCTCCTGCGCAGGGCCTAGTACAAGAACCTCGTGGTTCCTCACACCCGTACCTGGCAGGCCCTGGGCATCTGCCACGCGGGACGTTCCTGGAGGAGGAGAGAACGGTCCCTCCAGCGAGGTCCCAGGAGGGCTAGGGGCACCTCTGCCTTCCCCAGTGAAAGCACAAGAGCCTTGGGCCGGAGGTCCGGGAAAAGTAACTTCATGCTACAGAAAATCAAGTTTGCTGATGGTGATTTTGAAAGGAATTTGGGGAAGACGATTTTTGTTGTTTTGCATCAACAGCACTGGTTACTTAGAACAAATAAATAACAGCTTTTTGTAGTTGCTTCCTTTATCAAAAAGGAACATTTATGGGCTGGGGATTTAGCTCAGTGGTTCTAGCACCTGCCTTGCAAGCATAAGGACCCGAGTTCGATCCCTGGTACCAAAACAAAACAACAACAACAAAACAAAAACAAAAACAAAAAGGAACATTTGTGCCAGGCACTGTAATACATGCATCTCATCCCAGCACTTTAGGAGGCTGAAGCAGGAGGATTGGAACTTCAGTCTCAGCCTGGGCAACTTAGCAAGACCCTGTCTCAAAATACAAGATAAGGGATGGGGATTTAGCTGAGTGGTTCCCGTGCCTGACTTGCAAGTGCAAGGTCCTGAGTTCGATCCCGGTACCAAAACAAAAAACAAAAAAACAAGATGAAATGAGCTAGAGATGTAGCTCAGTCCCCACCAGAGGGGCTGGCCAACTACACCTGGTAGGGTCGGGCCCCACTGGGAGGGACTCTCATGACTGACTATTGGGCTGGGTGGTCAGAGAATTTCTTTACAGCTAAGGGTTGCTGAAAGGGTTTCTATGGTTTCTATGATCCATGCAGAGGAAAAGAAATCCTAGGTTGTTCTTCTTTATTGGTACCAGGGATCGAATTTGGGACGTTGCACTTGTGAGGCAGGCGGGAACGCCACTGAGCTAAATTCCCGCACCTACCTTCCTTTTTTTTTTTTTTTTGGTACTGGGGATCGAACTCGGGACCTTGCGCTTGTGAGGCAGGCGCTGGAACCACTGAGCTAAATCACCAGCCCCCTGCCTATCTTTTTAAATTTCGACACAGGGTCTCACCAAATCACTAAGTTATTCAGGCTGGGCTCAAATTTGGGATCCTCCTGCTTCAGCCTCTGAGTGCTGGGATCACAGGTGTGCACCACCACACCCAGCTGCCTCCTGTTATTTTTATTGAACACTTCCTTCTGGACCATTTTTTAGTTTGAGGTGGAACAGGAACCCTCCTGGGGAGAAGAGATGGATAAAATTCTTGGCCCTGAACCCATAACCTGACCCGATGAAGGTGATGACCCCGGCTTCCCATTTCAGCAGTGGATGGAATGTATCCCCGTCTTTGCTATAATCCTGGGCTCTTATCAGAGGATCAGGTCACTGTAAGGGGCAATGTGGTGCCTCGAGGTCTCCAAGAGCTAATTGGCTACTGATCCATATCTTTCATGAGGAAGAAATTTTTTAAAAAAACCAATCCTAGCCATGTGTGGTGTCTCATACCTGTAATCTCAGCATTCTAAGAGGCTGAGTCAGGAGGATCTCAAGTTTAAACCCAGTTGGAGAAATTTAGTAACTTGGCAAGACCTTGTCTCAAAATAAAAAAGTGTTTCCCTGGTACAAAATAAATAAATAAATAAATAAAAATTTAAAAACAAAGTGTTTAAAGGGCTGGGGATGTCACTCAATGTAAACACTTAGTACAAACATACTAGTACCCTAGTACTAAAAAAAAAAAGTCAATCTCATGACCCAGTGGAAATGTCCCAGTCCCTGCCCTCTCTTTGTTAAGGGGCGGCACAATCCCTCTGTAACTTTTCATTTCTGTTACCACTGAAACAGTCTTGCAGCTCACAAACGCTCTCTGGGGCACTATCTAACTGGTCATTAAGCTATCCAGCTGTCACTGGCTAGGGTCCGAGGAGGTGCCCCCAGGGAAGCTGGGGAACCTCGGCTCAGCCAGCTTCGCAGGTTCTGAGTCCTGTCACACAGACTGGTTTCTTAGGCAGGAAGAAGTGCATACCTGGGGGCGAGACTCCCCGGTTATGGGGTCTCAGAGGAAGTGGCTGGGTCAAGACGTTTTCCTAAAAACTTTCTTTGAACCCTTTTTCTCTATCTTAAAGTCAGGTTGCTGAGTTTTACCTTATCCACTGTTAATTTATGAACTTCTGGTATCTCTAAGGAATTTGGGTACAATGGGCCTGGAAGAAAAGAAAATCAAGCCTAGGGAGGAAAGGTATGGAGTGTAAACATGGGGAACCTTGAGTTACTTTGTGTCTTGAAGTTATGGTCTTCTAAAATTATTCTTATTATTTTTTGTACTGGGGATTTAATCCAGGGCCTGCATACTAAACATCCCCAAGCCTTTTAAAATTCTGAGACAGGGTCTAAGTCTCCAAGTTGCCCAGGCTGGACTTGAAATTCCAATCCTCCCGCCTCAGCCTCCCTGAGTGCTGGGAACACAGGAGTGTGGCCCCCAGTCCAGCTGCCTGCATCACTTTTTACACTTTTGGTTCCCTGCAGCTATTCCAGCATGGCCTTTTCCCTCCCATCCCCCCTTTTTTTGGTATCCGGGAGGACCTTGGTCTTTCGAGGCACGCAGCGGAACCACTGAGCTAAATCTCTGGCTCCTCTTTCTTTTCTTTTTTTTGGTACCAGGGATTGAACTCGGGTCCTCAGCTTTCGAGGCAGGCGCCAGAACCACTGAGCTAAATCCCCAGCCCTCCCCTTTCTTTTCAATAGTGGAGATTGAGGGCCGGGGATTTAGCTCAGTGTTTTCACCGCGTGCTGCGCAAGCGCAAGGACCCGAGTTCGATTTCCGGTACCAAAAAAATAAATAAATAAATAACAGTGGGGATTGAACCTGGGGAGCACTGGGTTGTATCTCCAGCAATTTTAAATGAATTAACTGGAGATAGAGCCTTGCTTAATTTCCCAGGCTGGCCTCCAACCTGGCATCCCCCTGCCTCCACCTCCTGACTAGTGGGGATTCCAGGTGAGTGCCTCCATGGCTGGCTGTCACTTTGCTGTTTGCCACTGTGCCCCTTGGAAGGCTCTCCTCCTGGCAGGAGCTGCACACTCAGGTGAGGGTGGCTTGAGCCCATGAGTTCAAAGCCAGTCTGGGTGACCTAGTGGGACCCAGTGTGTCCTCTGCCCTGGCCTTGCAGCTGCTGGAGCAGAGGATGTGGTCCCTGTTCCCTTTGCCCCGAGGTGGCTGCTGAGGACAGGTGTGTGTAAGGGTAGCAGGCCTGGAAGGGGGGGTTTCTAGCTGGCTTGTTTTGCTCTGGAGATGGCCTTGTAAATGCTTTCCTGACAGAAACCCAAGCCAGGCAGCTTCTTGTCCCCGAAGCTTCCTAGGACGTCCTAGTGGGGGCGGGAGCTCGCTGGCCCCCATTGTGGTCCACCCCAGGATGGTCTTACGGGCTTCTCCTCTAGCAGCACAGGAAGGATGATCCCTTCTGGCTACTGCTCCAAGGCCAAGACGACAAAGTGGGGACAGCTGTTCTGTGTCTCCATGTGTACCCAGCAGTGGCAGGGCCACAATGCTGCAGCAGACTGGCGCTTGTAGGAACAGACTCTGTGGTCCCCAGGAAGCAAGCTGCCTCTCCAACCCAGGGGGTGGGCCCTGAGGGCCCAAGGGGACATCCTTTCTTTCTGGGTGAGGAATCTAGCTTTTTCCTTTCCCCTTTTCTTCTTTTTTTGTGGTTCTAGGGTGGAATTCAGGGACTCCTGGATGAACGGCCAGCTGTCTACCACTGAGTTACATCCCCAGTCCTTTTCAAATTTTATTTTGAGGCAGAGTCTCACTAAGTGTATTACCTTTCCTGTTGCTGAGACAAAATCCCCAACACAATAATGTAAAGGAGGAGAGGTTTATTTTGCTCACAGTTTCAGAGGATTCAGTCCATGGTTGTCTGGCTCCAAGGCAGGAACATCATGGGGGATGGGTCTGGGGGAGGAGAGCTGCTCACCCATGGCAGCCAGAAAGCAGAGAGCAGGCAGGAGCCGGGGAGAGGAACACACCCTTCCAGGTGACCCCACTGACCCACCTCTTCCCATCGGGCACCCCCACAGTACACTCAGCCATGAACACCTCAGTAGGGGAATCCACTGGTGAGTATAGCACCCCATGACCCAGTCACCTTCCAAAAGCCCTGCCTCTGTACACAAGACTTTGGGGGACATGTAGATCCAAACCATAATAGCTAACCTGGCCTCAAACTTGTGATCCTCCTGCTTCAGCCTGCCAGAGTGCTGGGATTGTACAGGTGTGTGCCATAACACCTGGATTTTTTTTTTTTTTAAATTTTGAGACAGGGTCTTGCTAATTTGCTAAGTTGCCTAGGCTGTGTTTGAATTTGCAATGCTCCTGCCTCAGCCTCCCGGAGTGCTGGGATTACAGGTGTGCGCCATCACGCCCAGCTTTTTGTTTGTAATTTCTAATTAGTATATCCGTTCTCCCATTTCTCGTGGAAGTTTGGTTGCAAGAAGAACATGTGTGAACATAGTTTCGTGTGCAGACGCATCGGCGCTGCGTCTGGCAGTGTGTGCCCAGCCTTCCTCCCCACCCCAGGTACGCGCTGCAAGCGAGCGGAGTGACGCATGGCTCCTACCGCACCTTAGGCGAGTTGAACTCAGGTGGGAGTTGCCACGCTGTACCCAAGTGCAAGTGACCCTCGAATGACCTCACTAGTCTCTCATTCTCCTTCCTGAGACCCCCTGTCGCGGATTTGTGTCGCTATACAGAGCTCAAGTGGCATCTCGGAGTCTGTCTGACCGGCCTGGTGTCTCAGCCCCAGTGCGATTTCAGTCCCTTGTGGTGCTGCTGGAGCGCTGTGCAGGCACCCACAGCCGAGGTGACAGGTGACAGTCCTCACCTGCAGCGGCTCGCCTCTGCCCCACACGTGGTGCCAACTGAAAGCCTTGACTTGGGCCTTATGTTAGTCATCTTCCTGTGGCTGGGACCCAACCCCGAGAGCTGTGTACCTCATGGCCGCCCCGGGAAGCTAAGGGAAGGGGCTGGGGTCCGACACAGCTTTCAAGGGCCTGTGCCCCCAGCCCCTGCCCCGTCCCGCGAGGCCCCGCCTCTCAGGGAGCCCATTGGGCCACGCCCTCATCCTCCGACCAATCTGCTGGCGAGGGCAGAGCCCTCGTGACCCAGCCCCAAGAAGTGGTTGCGGTGGTCTTCGGAGGATGCCGCAATGCGAAAGCAACTAGGCCTCCTACCGTGAGCCCAGTGGCGGCGCGGAGGCACAGACGGCACTCCTCGCCGGGTCCCGAGTGGGCTCCCAGAATGGAGGTCGAAGCCATTCATCCAGAGGCAAGGTGCCACCTCAATGTCTCATGCTTGTGCCTCCGTGTGGAGGCGCCCGGGGTGAGGGGACAGCCGAAGGCCCTGACTCGGGACCTCGCGCTTTCCTATCACAGGCGCCTAGAGCAACGCCAACACTGACCTCCCCAAGACCCTCCCCTGTCTCTCGGAGGCACCGGAGGTCAGGTGCCAGCTGTCCCCTGCACTCTGTAAAGTCTGGAGCACGCCCTGGGGCTGACCCTTTGCACCTCCGCTTCCCCCTTTCGTCTGACGCGGCACTCCCCACCACGGCGGCTCCTACCTGTGTAAGGCGCCCCTGGTGGCGCGCGGCGCCTGCGAGGACAGCATGGTCGCGGTCCGCCATCTTGTGGGGAGCTGCGTCCTTGTCCTTCGCAGCTGGACGGTGGGGCGGAGGGTGCTCGACACCTGCCTAGCTTACGCTACAGTACTGAGCCCACCAGAAAGCACGGCCCCTTGTTGTGAAAGCCCTTGTTGCGTTTCCCCCCATCTCCTTTTTACAGTAAGGTCTCTCTCGGCTGCCCAGGCTAGGCTCCAATCACCCTCTTCCTGTCGCAGCATCAAGGAGTTGAGCTTCCTATTTCCTGATGGCTTTCTTTTGTAGGATCCTGGGCCTAGAGCAGCGGGTTCTGTGGCAGGCTAAGGAGAGGCCTGGATGCATCAAAAAGCCCTAGCCGGGCGTGGTGGCGCACGCCTGTAATTCCAGCACTCAGAAGGCTGAGGCAGGAGGATGGCAGGTTCGAGCCCAGCCTAAGGAACTTAGTGACACTGTCTCAAAAAAAAAAAAAATCCCTGGATAGCTGGGTGCAGTCGTGTGCACCTGTAGTCCCAGCTACTGAGGAGGCTGAGGCAGGAGGATCAGTTGAGCCCAGACGACCTCATTTCAACTACACACAAAGGCCCAGATGACGTGGCCAGGTCCAAGCTGGCTTCCCCAACTCACTGCCCACTGACAAGGACCACTCCAGGCCCTGTGCCAGGAGCAGGCTGACCTCCTGGGCCATTTCTTGGCCAGTTGGTTTGCTTGCTCCTACATGGCCCCCCTCAGACCCTCATCCTGTCAGCCTCATCTCCCGGGTCCAGGCCACAAACTCGGGTATCATGACACCAGGGCTGTTGGCTCCGGAGAGGGCAGGGGAAAGCTGTGGTGACCCTCAGGGGCCCTGTTCTTCTCCGGGGGACCAGCCTGCTGGAGCCTTGGAATGTGACTTAGCACAAGTGGCCTGTGGAGGTGGCAAGGGTGGCTCCTGACAAGAGACGGACACACGACGGGGAGGCGACCCTGCTTGCCCTGACCCCGGACCCCTCACGCACACCCTCTGCTGTGAACACCAGGTTGGGGTATTTTTGAGGCTTCCCAGGACAGGGCCAGCTCAGAACTCTGCAGTGTCACTTCTGACTCAGAATCTGTCACCTCTTCCTCAAGATTTCTTCCTCTGTGGAGTGGCAGTGTGGCTTGAAAGGACTGGGCACGGCAGGGATGTGGCTGGGGCAGAAGCAGTTGAAGGAGTGGCCGCTAAAGCAACTGGACTCAAAGCTGTACTGAGTGACGGGCATCTGAGGGGACACACAGGAGCCTTGGGAGCTGGCATAGGCCCTGGGTTGGGAGTGGTGAGGTGGCCCCAGCAGGTGCCATGGCAAGATGACAGGTGACACAGGCAGTGGGGAATCGACAGGTGGCAGGGAGGAAATGACAGAGGGACTGCTGGCTGCTGGAGGTTTAATGGCGGATGGGGAGGTGGGTGGTCTTGGAGTGTGGTCGGCAGCAGGGCTGGGGCAGGCCAGCTGGGGTGGCGAGGTCTCGTCCAGCTGGCACCGGGAATGTTGGAGGCGCCTCTGAGGAGCTTCCCACAGCCTCCCCACTGTCCCTAACTCTGCCCTAGGCCAGTGCGCGCTTCTCCTTCCTTCTTGGGGCTGGAGTGCAGGGAGGAGGTGGCTCAGGCCCCAGGGGAGATGGGTGGCTCAGACAGGGCCTGCGGCGGGCGGTGCTTGAGGAATGCGGCGGCGGCGAGGGGCGAGGGCGAGGGCGGTGCCAAGCCTGTGGTCCCAGAGTCCTCCCGACACGGCCACGGGGAGGACGGGGAGAGGAGCGGGGCCGGGCTCAGAGCTTGTGGGGGTTTACCCACTTGTAGGTGCCCTCGTACTGGAAACCCGCTCGCTTCATCAGCTCGTCTGCCTCGGGGGGGCCTCGACTGAAAGCAGGACAGGCAGGGGGACGTGAGGGACGCCGGCCCCAGACCCCCACTGGCCTGCCCTCACCTGCCGTGGGCACAGGGGACCCCCACCTGGGACCTCATGCGCTCCCGCCCTCACCTGCCGTAGATGTAGGGGATGGGCTGCACTTTCTCCCGCTCGATCTGGTGCAGCAGAGGGGTGAAGATGCGCCAAGCCTCCCGAAGTTCGTCACTGAGGGGACAAGGTGTGGCCTTTGGGGATGGAAGCACATGGAGGGGATGTCACCCCATGCCTGGCACCCCGCTCACCTGCGCACGAAGTGCATCTGGCTCCCACAGAAAACGTCCAGGATGAGGCGCTCATAGGCATCCGGGAGCTTCACGTCCTGTAGGGCAGGCGTTAGCGGCGGCTGTGTGTCCCCCGGCCCCAACCCCGCCTCCCACGCACGCGCACGCACGCACGCACACCTTGTATCTGTTGCCGTAGGTGAGGTCCAGCTCGGACTCCTCCGGGTTGAAGAACATGCCCGGCTTCTTGGTCATCATCTTGGTGTACACAGCCTCATTGGGCTGGACACGGATCACCAGCTCGTTGCGCTTGCACTGCTCGTGGAAGATGTCACCGGCCACATCCCGGAACTGCAGCCGCACCTCGGCCTTGCGCTCGTTCAGGGCTTTCCCGCAGCGCAGGATGAAGGGCACCCCTGGGGACAGGGTGACCTCAGGACCAGGCTGGCCCAGGTGTGTGTCGCACTCCGATGGGCTGCCCAGCCCTGTGCTGCAAGAACCCCGCGGGGTCACCTACCATCCCAGCGCTCATTTTCCACGTAGAGGACGACAGCTGCGAAGGTGGCCGTGGTGGACCCATGTGGCACTGTGGGGTCATCCAGGTACCCTTTGGTGGCCTCACCCTCTCCGCTGGGGTTGCCCACGTACTGGCCCAGGACCACGTTGTCAGCCTCCACCTCGGAGATGCACTTCAGAACCTTGACCTGGGGACAGTGGGGACAGGAGGCCCCTGGTGACATGTCGGGTGGGCACGGCTGGGGCCCTCCTGGGGCGCGGCGCCAGAACCCACCTTCTCGTTGCGGACATCGTCAGAGTCCGTCGAGGCAGGTTTCTCCATGGCCACCAGACACAGCATCTGCAGCAGGTGGTTCTGCATGACGTCCCTGGGGACGGAGGGCAGCACTGTTCAGGCACAGGCCGGGGCCCCGAGGGCCCCAGAGTAGACAGTGACTCCCCGACGGGCGGGCAGCTGTCCGATTTGCTGCCAGGGCAGGGAAGGCGGGGTCTCACCGGATGATCCCAAACTCATCAAAGTAGCCCCCGCGGCCCTTCGTGCCGAAGGGCTCCTTGAAGGTGAGGATCACACAAGCGATGTTGTCCCGGTTCCAGATGGGGCCGAAGATCCTGTTGGCAAAGCTGCGGGAGGGCAGGTGAAGCTGACACCCGGCAGCGAGCTCCCCACATGGCGCCCGCTGCCCAGGGCCTCTGTGGCCCCTGCCCTGGGTCTGGCCCCGCCACCCTGGCCCCAGCACCCCGCCCTCACCGGAGCACCATGAGGTTCTGCACCATCTCCTTGCCCAGGTAGTGGTCGATGCGGTAGATCTGGTCCTCACGAAACAGGGAGGCGATGTGGTCAGACAGCTGGTCGGAGCTCTGCAGGTCCCTTCCGAAAGGCTTCTCCACGATGATGCGGTTCCAGCCCCTGCCAGGAGCTGCAGCCCTGTCACCCTGGCGCCCACCCTACAGACACTTCTGTGCCCCTGGTCCCCAATGGCAGTCTCAACACCCTCCCAGAAGTCCACCCACCTGGCGGCCGCACTGGCCCTGTTCTCTTCCTGCCCCGCTTGGGGTCCCCAGGGGGTGGGGAGGGCCACCGAGGACAGAGCTCCTCCTCGGGTTTTCTCTTTTTAGGTGGGGTCTACGTTGCCCAGGCTGGCATCAAATTCCTAGCACAGCTTCCTGAGTGCTGGGGCCGCAGGTACATGCTGCCCCAGCCGGCCCCACGGGCCTCAGAAGGACAAAAGGCCCTTTGCTTTGCTGTCCCTCACAGAGAATCAATGTGGCTCTCTGCGTTCAAAGCCAAGAACAAGAGAAAGAGATGGTTGCAGCCTGTTCTCCTGGAGCAACACTGCCACCTGGCGGGCCTGGCAGGGACTCTGAAGACGCAGAAGGCGCCAGAGAAAGAGCAAGTGCGGGGAGTGTTTTGTGGAGCAACACTGCCATCTTGTGATGCCAGTGGGAAACTGCGCCCCCCCCCCCCCCGCCAGGATCTCCCTATGCAGTTCAGGCTGGCCCTGAACTCACAGGCTGTGAACCTCCAGGGATGCTGAGGCTGGACACAGGCATGTGAGCCCCAGGTACATGGGCAGTACTAACATTTTCAGCAAAGGCTGTTAGAGAGCGACTGCATTTCCAGTCTTTTCTCTCTGGGAGAGTGAATTCATGCAGGAACGAGCAGGGTGCTCATCTTTCCTGGCCAGGGCCACCTTGGGGGTCTGTGGGCAGGACAGGCTGGCAGGGTGGAGGGGACAGGCTTACGTGGGGCTCATGCAGGCCTCGTGGATGTGCTTGGTGACAGCCTCATAAACGGTCGGGGGCAAGGCCAGGTAGAAGAGGTGGTTGGCCCGTGGGCCCTGGTACAGAGCGTCCATGTGGCTGCTGAGGCGCTGGTAGGAGGCTGGGTCGTCGTACTGGCCCGAGACATAGGAGTTGCGAGCAAAGAACTCTTCCAGCTTGGGCCTCTCCTCTGGGGCAGCCTGGGAGAGAGGGACAGACAGACAATGACGCCAGCCCCGCCCCAAACTGTGCTGGCAGCCAGTGGTCTCCCTTTGATGTCAGCTGTCCTAGCTCCTGGGTCCCCATGGGAGAGAGGCAGAGGCAGGCAGCAGATACACTGTGCCAACGTGCAAGAAGGACAGTCACCCTGTGTCTGCTAGGGACCTGCGGCTCAAGACAGGGGGCAGGGCTCAGGGACATGTGACCAGGAGAGAAGCAATGAAGAAAGTCTCCCTCCAGCGCCACCACACCAGGTGACAATCTGCTGGGAAGACACTGAGCCCCAGTGCACAGAAGGGGTCAGAGAGGAGTGCAAGGTCAGGCAAAGGGGTACCCTATTGTGGCACTGCAGCATGCCCCTTGCAGGGACACCGGAAGCCACTTACTCTGAAGAAGGGCTCGCTCTGCTTGCAGATGTCGGCCACTGTGAGGCGGGAGCGGGCGTACCCCACCACGAAGGTGTTCTCAGGCAGCAGGCCGTCCCGGAAGAGCCACCTACAGCAGGCACAGCTGGGGTCAGGCCGAGGAGGGGATGGCCAGGCCTGTCTCTGGTGGGGGCGGGGCCCTACTTACCAGATGGTTGGGTAGATCTTCTTCTTGGCCAGGTCACCCTAGGGCAGAAGATCACAAATGTGATCGAGAGAGGCCAGGGACGGGACCCAGCTCAATCTCCACTGCTGGTGACCCAGGTGGGTGGTCACTCAGGGTCCCCATTCAGTCACAAGCTCATTTGTCCTGTCCCCGGAGGTCCCCAGAGAAGCCTTGCGACTTGAGCCTGCCCGGGCTCCACATCCTGATCTAAAGTGTCTCCTGTGTTCAAGAAGAAACCTGCAAGTTCAGTTCTTCAAAATCTAATGATAATGGGGCCGGGGATTTAGCTCAGTGGCTCCGCGTCTGCCCTGCAAGCTCAAGGACCCAAGTTCAATCCCCGGTACCAAAAGAAAAATCCAATGATAAAGCTGGGAATGGTAGTGCACGCCTGTCATCCCAGCACTAGGGAGGCTGAAGCATGAGGATCACCGCAAGGTAAACAGCGAGACCCTGTCTCAAAAGCCAAAAGACCTGAGTGATGATGGAGGTACCACACATCGAAGCTGGGGCCTCGTGACTGCAAGTCTCACAAGAGCAAGGGTGGCTTCAAAGCAATGCGCTACATGTTTAGTTTATGATGTCAGGAAAAGGATGGCAGATTATTATTTTGTTTGAGACAGGGTCTCGCTGTGTAGTTCAGGCTGGCCTTGAACTCACTATGCACCCAGGCTGGCCTTGAACTTGTGGTGATCCTCCTGCTTCTGCCTCTTGAGTGCTGGGACTGAAGGCATGCCCCACTGCACCTGGCTTCTTTATTTTTTGACATACTGAAACTTGAACCCATGGTGCTTTATCTCTGAGCTACAACCCCAACCCTTTCTTTTTTTATTTTGTATTTTAAAATATGGCTAAGTTGTCCAGGCTGGGCTTAAACTTGGGACCCGCCTGCCTCAGCTTCTCAGAATGCTGGGAGCACAGGCCTGCACCATCATACCTAGCTCAGAAGAGTGTTTTCTGAGCAATTTTATTCAGTGGCTGACAGACAACTCAGATGAGAGAGATGAATTTCTAGAAAAAGCCAACCTACCAAAAGAGTTCAAGGGGTAGCCACCGGCAGGGGTTCTAACCCGGATGGAAAGAGAGCTGCAAAAGGGGACAAAGTCCTGCTGCAGATGGCAGGAAGGTGAGCAGTCCTGGGCCCACTTGCTGTCTCCAACAAGAAGGCATCCAGGCACAGCCCTCAGCCCCTCAAGTGCGCACACACACATGTGCACACACAAGCGCACACACACACACGTGCGCGTGCGCGCACGCGTGCAGAGGCAAAGCCACAACCACATTGGTGTCATCTGTGAAGTGAAGAGGTGGCGTGCTGCTAAGAGACCAGTGTCAGTCATGGGACCTCACCATGGCAAGAGATTAAAGGAAAACATCTTTGCCTACTCCTATTTACCGACTTCTAGAATCCAGCAACCCGAGCCGGGCATGGTGCATGCCCATAATCCCAGCACTCAGGAGGCTGAGGCAGGAGGATTGATGTGAGTTTGAGGCCGGCCTGAATGATGTCTCTCAAAAAAAAAAAAAGCAATAAACAAAATCCAGCAACCTTGCTGAACTCAACAAACGTAGGTAAAGGGTTTCAGAAGATTATGTCTTTGTGATAAAAACTTATCAAAGCAGGAACAAAAAGGAATTTCCATGGCTTTGCATAGCTGATCTAGGAATGATCCTGCAACACCACACAGCTAGGATGACACTGAAATCACTGCAGATGGGAACTGCAAAGCAACTGAGCCACTGGCCTGGCCGGCCAGTAGTGTGTGCAGGAAAATGCAAGGGCGTAAGGTTTGGAGAGGGCGAAAACCACTCTTCCTCAGAGATGAGTTTGTCTAAACAAAGCGCCTCAGATTGTTCTCCAGATAAATGATCAGAGTGAATGACTTTAATACGGGTGTTAGATTTTAAAAATCCACAGGAATAGGCAAAGATTTTTTTGGACACAGAAAGCAATAACCATAAACACTGGTAAATGGAGACCAAATCAAAGTTAACAAAGCTGCTCATTTAGACACTATCAGGCGAGCGGAGGGCTGGAGTGCAGGCGCCGCATGCTCAAGGGCCCCGACCCCAGCACCAGGAAGCAGGAAGCCTGACCCGAGAGCATTCACCTGTGTCCATGATACACACACGGCTCCTACAACCAAGGAGAAAATGGCCGGTTAACAGTGGCCAGACCCTGCCCAGGGTGAGAAGTGACGGGCCGCAGGGGCCGGCTGGTGGTCGGCAATGCGCTTGGCCCAGGTGACCCACCCGCATGTGTATTTGGAATGGCCTTCCTGCCAAGCAGCCCTGGACCAGAAACAACTATGGTGCTCACATGAGTCAAGGACTGGATGTGGCGACAGAGGAATGAGAGCGACAGATTGGCATATCTCTGGCAGATCTCAGACCACTATGCCGAACCAAAGAACCCAGGCACAAGAGGCAGAATACTGAGCGAACTTAAAGGTCCTAGAGCAGGCAGCACGAACCCATTATTGCTGCTTTCGGTTTTTTGAGACAGGGTTTCACTGTGTAGCCTGGGCTGGCCTCAGCCTCCAGACACTAACCTACTGACACCAATGTACTGAGATGGAAATGAGATTAGTGGTGGCCTGGAGCAGGGGGTGGATTTGCTAGGAGGGGCCTGCAAGGACTTTCTGGGGAGACGGAAATACTGTGCTATCGATTACACAGTTACTATTTGTGCACATTACTGCTGGTGTGTACCAAAAAAGATGGTTAAAAGGAGGGGTGCAGGTTAGAATTACCCTTGGGAGCCATGTGTGGTAGCACAAGCCTATAATCCCAGCACTCTGGGAGGCTGAGGCAGGAGGATTCCAAGTTCTAGCCCAATCCTGGCAATTTAGCGACTTGGACCCTACCTGCCACAAAATAAAACAAAAAGGGCTGGGTTCAATCTCTAGGATGGCAAAATAAAAACCAAAGCAAGCCCCAAAGCCTTGGGGTGACAGCGACATAAGGGGCAACTCGTGGGGAAGCTGCCGCAGGGAGGCCCAGCTTGGGAAGCCATGTTCTTTTTCATTACATGACACGAGTGAACAGACACAAGCCAACCACTTCATTCGTGCTAGCAACGAGCACTGCGGAAACCGGAGCTCTGAGAAATGAGCGCAATGAAACACTGGCAGGTCCATGCCAGTGAAGCTGACCTCCTCTGCCCAAGGCGACCTCCCCTCTGGAGACACTCACTCTGCAGCGTCCCTCCTCCAGGCGGCAGGGCCATAGGCCCCGGCCCTTTCATCTCAGACCCTGTAATTGAAACTGGGGCCCTGCCGCTGTGTGGGGGGACTGAGTGGGTGGCACAGGTGTGGGACCCTGAGTTGCCTCATCCGGCTCCATGGCTGGGCACAGTGGTACAAACCTGCCATCCCAGTGCTTAGGAGGCTGGGGCGGGAGGACTGCCACAAGTTTGAGGCCAGCCTGAGCTATATAGTGAGACCTTCTCTCAAAAAGCCAAAAAAAAGGGCCGGAGATTTAGCTCAGTGGTTCTGTCGCCTGCCTTGCAAGTGCCAGGACCTGAGTTCGATCCCTGGTACCAAAAAAAAAAAAAAAAGACAGAAAAGGAAAACCCCCCCACAAACACAGAAGTCAGCTGTGGCAGCAAAGTAGCTGAATTCAGGTACAAAGGTCCCTTGTAGAAAGCAGCCCTGCAGATGTACCTGACTGAAAAGGTGCTTCTGGGTGGCTTTGGGTTGCTTTCCAGGTCCAGCCCCCTGCCAAGCCCCTTCAACACGAAGACGTGGCTTGATGTCCACATGAGCATCAGACTCTGATGAGCCCATTTCCATCAGGGACTCCTGGGGACTGGTACTCAATGCCTGCTGGTGACCTTCAGGGTTCCATTGTGACCCATGACCTCCATAGCATGCTATTCCCAAGCCACGGCGCCTATGTTGGCCTGGGGGACTGAGTCCTTCCCTCCTCCTCCGGAGTGTGCCAGCTGCTCACGGCCAAGCCCGACTCTGGTGTGGACCCCACTATAGCCGCCATGTTCCATGGGAACCTTGGGGAGTCTGGGTACGGTGGCGATCTTTAGGGAAATGCCACCTGGTGGACTCTCCCTGCCTGCAGGGCTCCCTCACCCATCTGTATATCTACCGCTCTGCCATGTGACATCCACTGTGGTCACCCTGGCAGCCTCTGTGTTGCTCCAGTCCGTGCTGAGGCTGCCACCTTCCTGTGTCACATCGTCACTCTCTCGGGTCCCCACTTGGGGCCTTTGTTACAGCACTTGGGCAGCCTGCTCTGCTCGGGCAAGCTGGCTGGGGGCCAGACCCTGAGAGCCCAAGGCTCTCCACACAGGCTGTGTTTGCTTCCGGTCAAATTCCAGTAGACTGGAGTCAGATGGACTCCAGTATTGGTGGCAGGGGACTGTCTGCTGAGTCACAGTTGCCCCACACCCCAAGCTGTTTGCTCTTGCTGTTCCCTTTGGGATTAACTAGAGACAGAACCTGCTCACCTTGTTTCAGCTCAGGCCCTGTGGTCGGTCGAGTGGCAGTCTGCTGGGCTCCAGTCACCCAAGGGACAGGCGAGGTAGGATCAAGGACAATGGGGGTGGGGTGGCTGCCCTCCTCAGGCATGGTGGTGGCCCTGACCTCCCAGCTGGCACCGACTCCTCCAGAACAAGGAATATGGGCCATGCGTGGGTGAGGGATTAGGGCAGCACTGGAAGCCCCTCACCTTCGCCACTCCCTCACTTTGCCCAGGGACACTCAGTGACTTCATAGGAGAACTGGGACATGATGAGGAGCCCCAGCCCTTTATGGTGGTGGCAGGGTCTTAGAAGTGGGGGGCAAAGGGGTGGCCACCCAGTTCCCAAGACTTTCTGGGATCAAGGAGCCATGCAGGTGGAGCCCAGGCCTTGGCTGGGGCCCAACTGGTCCCTGGCCACCAACGCCAGGGAACTTGGGGGCTGCTGGGTTCGGGCTGAAAGACTAACAAAAAGGCCTCCCTCCTACACCCTGGGACTGAGTCACCAGGCCTCTGGGGGAGTGCCAACGTCATCATGACACAGCGGGAACCATATTGCCCAGAAATGTCCCGAGGAGAAGGAGGGGCCGGAGTCCTAGTCAGTTTGCACCCAGACCCTCGCTAGGATGGATCGTGGGTGCCCACCAGGCCTGTAGCCACCATGGGTCAGGGGGGGAAACTGAGGATGGAGAGCCAAGTGGACTCCGGCGCTGCTCTGTCACTGTGTGGAGGAGCCTGGTACCCTGGGCTCCAGTCCTGTCAAGGGCCTGGAAGCTCCTTCTGAGTTCTGTGTGGCGGGGCACACGGGGAAGGAGGACTCCGAGAGACCCCCAAGCCATTTGCTAATCCTTGCCAGTGACACCTCTTGCCCTGGAAGGGAGCTGGGCATGAGGCAAGGGCTGGGGAAGCCGGCCATGGAGGGAGGGAGGGAGGGAGGAAGGGCAGAGGATAGCCCGCTTGCCCCAGGCTGTCCCGCTGTCCTGGGCTTGGGCCCACCAGCCCCTGGCCTCCTTTTGGTTTCTGGGTCACACTGAGGTTGTCCTCGACTTAGGGCTTTGGATGCTTGTGCCTCCTTTCACCTGGGTTGCCCTCTGGGCCCTCACCTGCAGGCCTTGTTTTCCTGGCCCTGCCATGTGCCCCTCTGAGGTCTGCTCACACCTTGGGTTCCTGGCTCCCCAAAGTCCACAGGATGTGTGAGCAGGGCAGGGACCCGGGCTGTTGAGTCTGGAAGGGGCACCTGACCGCTGTGTGCTGAATGAATGAATAATTGGACATCCCGAGGGTTCCCAGAGCAGCCCTGACCTTGCCACCTCCTGTGCGCAGGGAGGCACCCAGCAAGGACGAGTGGGAGCTGCTCGCCCGCTCTGGCGCAGTTGGGGGGAGGGAGAAACAGTAAGGCTCTTCAGAGAGGCCTTGCTCTGCTCCTTGAGGTTGGGCAGCGCTTCCTATTTCTACGCTGGAGCTCTGCTCAGCTGCAGAGAGGAGAGGAAAGGGGAACCCGCGGATTACAGTGAACCAGTTGCCCAACCCCAGCTGTGAGAACACAGTGCGCCCCAGGGCACCTGTTTCAAAAGCCTCCCTTGCTGGGTCCAAACCCCCAGCAGTTCACCCGAGGTCAGTCGCACAGCAAGCTGCACAGCAAGCTCGGATGCTGTCAGTGAGAGCTCAGTGCCTAGAGTTGCACTCCAGCCCCATGATTGGGTCACTGCTGGCAATGCTCAGGCCAGTGCGGGGTGGGGACTGGAAGGGAGGAGAACTTGTCCTGGGTTTCGTTCGATCTCCTCCAGCCTGCTCCTCAGACTGAGGGCCAAACAGTCAGAGTCCTAGGTGTTCAGGTGGTAGCTGTCACTGTGTGGCCTAAGAGTTTTGACAGCATGGGAGTCCAGGACAGTGTCTTCGGCGCCTTCCCTTCCCTTTCCCAGGCTGAACTCCTCCCCTCTGCTGTCTCTTCATTCCTTTTCCTAGCTCTAATCAGAAATACCAAGTTCCTCTAGCACTGCAGGGCCCACAACACCCCAGGGAGGTGCTGAGCTATTGCCTACTCTGTCAAGAGCCATCTGGTAGCTAAGGTGAGGTGGCCTACACCTGTAACCCTAGCTACTGGAGAGGCTGAAGCAGGAGGATCGCAGGTCCAAGGCCAGCCTGGACTATACAAGATCCTATCTCAAAACAACAAAACAAATGGCAAAAATGGTAACTTGGTCAGCAGATCTCTGTTCGCATCAAGGTTAAAAGAAACAAGTGAGACCACTTCCAACATCTGTCTCTGCACAGGTATTGCTGCAACATGGCGTAGGAAGAGCGTGCTGTAGCTTGAGGCCAAGGTTGGACCGTGGCCAGCCCTGCCATGTACCCTCAGCACACCACCCCTCTGCCTTGGCATCTACTCTTTGGCCTTTTAGATTGGAGCAAACTAGCAGTTATGCCAGGAGGGCACACAGGGCCAGTTCCTCAGCAGGCTCCGGGAGTGATGGCCAAGAGGTGATGAAAGGAAGGCCTGCTGTCGGGCCCCGGGGAACTTCACTGGTAGAAGTGAGGCAGACAGAGCCTCAGACCCTGCTGCTAGAGCTGACCTCTCGACTCCGGTCAAGTAACAGCCATATCTGAAAACAATGCAGCATTCCCCCGGCACACAGGGCACCTGTTTTCCGCCCGGAGGAGGAAGTGCACTTAGACGGAGATATACCACCTGGAAGTTGGATACCACCTGGAAGTTGCAGGACTCCGCAGTCGGAGGCGGGTGCCGCCTGTGTAGCCCAGCTCGCCTGGCTGTGAAAGCTGAGGTGAGGGTGGGCAGTGGCCCGGGTGATGCCACCTTCACTGTGACTTTCCAGATCAGAGGCCTGGGGGTACTCACCGAGGCGCCCATGATGATGAATATGTGCGTGTCAGCCTGGTGGAAGGCATCGCCCTGGTACAGCTCTTCCCGCAGGATCCCGCACACCTGGGTCCGGCTCAGGGCCACCTGCTCTGCCATGATGCTGTCTGGTGAGAGAAAGGCTGGATGACAAGGCAGGAGGCCAGAAGGGCATCGGCAAGTGGGCCTCGACCTCCAGGGGTCCTTTGGGCCCTCACCGGCGGCTGCGACCGAAAGCCCTCGCTGGGAGTGGGGGCAGGCGGGACGCGGGTTAGAGACGCAGCGGCTTCCTAGGCCTCGCTCCCTCCCTCCCTCCCTCCTCGGCCGCCTCCTTCGCTGGCGGGCGCGCGAATGGATCTCCAGCAGAGCATCAATTCCAGGCAAAAAAGAGAGCACCCCGCCCGGCCATTGCACCCCGTGCCTGGGACCGCTCGCTCCAGACTCTGCCCCAAACTTCACGACAAGCTGGAGCGCGTTAGATTATGCAGATGATGGAGCTCAGATCCGGCTGTCCCCCGGACGACGCTGGCCAGCCCCTTCCCTTCTCAGGGTCTCCTTCTCCGGCTCCCCGGAGATACCAAGGGATCGATCACGGCCCTCTCCATCCTGCTCCGCTCCCCAGCACGGTAAATCGCGCGGATCAAGGGCTAAGCAGTGCAGCGGCCGGCAGCACGCCCCTCCGCCTGCACCGCGCCAGCCCGCCTGGTTACCTGCGCCGCCGCTGCCGCTGCCGCCGCCGCCGCCGCCGCCGCCCTCTGCACTCACAGCCCAGGATCGCGCGGCCGTTTCCGGGGGCTGCGCCCAGCCGCCGGCCCATTTAACAGGCGGGGGCGGGCGCCGAGGCTGAGCTGACTGGCCTGAGGGGAGGCGCGCGGGGGCGGGGCCTGAGGTGCGGCGCGGGGGCGGGGTCTCCACAGTTCCTCTGGAGCGCGCGGGGCGGGGGAGAGGGCAGGTGCGCGCGCATCCCTGGGCAGCCTCTCGCGCGGGCTGCGTCGCCCTTCAGGCACCTGCGTGGACGGCTGTGCCACTCTGCGCCCGCTCTCCCCGTTGCCACTGTGCCGCGACCACCATTCCTTGCGGGCACGCGTACGGCTCCGTGTGGCTCTCCTGCGTCCTCGCGGCCAGCCTGGCCTCACATGACAGCCCGTTTTCCCGCTTTCCCCCTTCCTCCCCGCGGTGGTCCTCCTCCTTGCGGAAGGCCCCACTTCCGCCGGTGGCGTGGCCACGCCTCCCCGGCTTCCCCTTCGGCTTGTGGGCGGGGCTTCCTGCAGCCTCATCCTGGTTCTCCCCCGGGCGGGGGTTGGGGCCGAACATCCAGCGGCTGGATGCTGCCACGCGGGAGACTAGAGGGCGTGTAGATGGCGACGCCCCGGAAAGTAGAGGGTGCTTATCACCGGGCAGCGGCCTGTGGACCAGCCGAGGCGGGCGGGCTCCGGCTTTCTCCGCGGCTTTGCCGGGCTTCGCACCTCTCGGCAGCCTCCTGAGTTCCTAGGGTTGGAGCTTGTGTGTTTTACTTCCGGATCCCACGGCTACGACAACGGAAGCCGGAAGCGGGGGTTTCCACGGCGGAGAAGGGAAGGTCGACTGCTGAACTCGCACTTTCTCAGGAGCTCTGCGCCCCTAGGAGCGCTCGCAGCCCGCCGCTCCCGCCCTCCTCACGTCTGACCAACTCTGCTGACAGGTGTGGTCCCTTTCTTCCGAGACAGGGCTCCCTCGGCAGGCAGCCCTCTGCCTCCGAGACGCCTCCGGACGACCAGGCTTTCCCCTCCTGCTTGGGCCCCAGCTGGTCCCTCACTGCGGTCCTCAGCGGGAGCACCGGCCCAGGGGCCGGGGTGTGGCTGGTTGGCTTGCCTAGAGTATTGGCGGGAGCGGGCCGATTCGGGACCCAGTTTGTTTGGGCGGCGAGTGGGACTGATTGTGCCCCTCCCGCTGCCGCCGCAGGGTCAGCCCGTTCCTCTACTGGCAGAGCTCTTGCAGTTCTGGCACATTTTCTGTTCACGCGCTTCAGTTAGGTCGCTTTGCTAAACAGTTGGTAGCTACCTGTTCTTCCTCAGGCCGTTTTTGCGTCCCGAGAATGAATGGGTCGCCCCGAGTAGTCTCCGACCTGCAAGAAGGGCTTAGAGCTAGAGCGGAGAGCGCTAGGGCAGAGTAGTTGAAGAAGGAACGGGAGAGCAGATGGTGCAGGGCCTTGTAGGCTGTTCTCGTGGGGCCGTGAGCGCAGTGGGGGCTGGGGGAGGGGGCTCGTGGCAGAGGAGGGCTGTGACCCCATTTACCGTTTAGGCAGCTTTCTGGCTGCAGAGTGGTCTGTTAGGAGGTTGTTGTGGTAACCCAGGGGGTGGTAGTCGTCTGGGGTTTTAGTCTTCAAAAATTAAAAAATGTACAAAAGTGGGAAGATTAGTAAATCCCATTGCCCATGTCTTAGCTTTAGCTGTTATCGGTTCCTACCTAATTTTGTTCAATTTATGCACCTCAAAGTTCTCTCCCATTATTTTCAATAATGCCTCTTTAGAGATACAACTTGCATGCTATACAGTTCCCCAATTTATTTATTTATTTATTGGTACCAGGGATCGAACTCGTGGCCTTGCGCTTGTGAGGCAGGCGGCGGAACCACTGAGCTAAATCCCTGGCCCTAACAGTTCCCCTGTTTAAAGTGTACGATTCAGTGACTTTTGTACATTCATGAGGGTGTTCAGCCATCACCACTGATTCCAAAACACGTTCATCACTCCCAAAAGAAACTCTGTACGCTTTAGCTATCACCCCTACTCACCACATTGCCCTAGGTACCCTCTAAGTTATTTCTTCTGTTTTGGACTTCTTTGGGGGGGGTATGGGGGATTGAACATGGACCTTGCACTTTCGGGGCAAGTGCTCCAACCACTGAGCTAAATGCTCGGCCCTTTTGGAGATTTCTTATAACTGGAGTCGTACAGTGTATGACCTTTTGTGACTTGTTTCTCAGCATAGTGTCTGAAAGGTTCGTTTGTGCTGTAACATGTGGCTGTACTCGACTGAGTTGATGACATTCAGGTTGTTTCCTCTCCAGCTGCTCTGAGTAATGCTCCTGGGAGCATGCATATCCCTTTTCCCTTTATTTTGAAGTGAGTGTCAGATAACATGTTTAAATATTGCAGTATACCCCTCTCTCAGAATGGACTTTCAACAACACGCCCACTGGGCCCAGTAGGTGTATACAGTAGTTAATGTTGCGGTTTCCTGATGGATCATTTGTGTGCTGGGAGATGGAGATAGAGGCATGTCTCAAGGAGAACTTGCAGGTTTTTTGTCCTGATGACTGTAGGATGGATTTGCCTTCAGCTGGAAGGCTTTGGATAGACCTGGCTTTTGGGGACTGTCGAGAGTTTTAGGGTAGTTTTTCTTTTTTGCAGTGCTGGGGATGGAAGCCAGGGCTGTAGGCATGCCACGCAAGTACTGTACCAGTCAGCCACGCCTCCAGCCCCGGAAAGTTAGTTTGGAGAGGACTACTAGATTTCCAAGTAGATATGTTGAGTTTGCTTTGGAGTTCAGGGGCGAGGTCTACTTGGGGGCGTTAATGGCATTGAGATTGGAGTTAAAGCTGGGACGCTAGATGGAATTGCTGCAGGAGTGAGTGTAGTTAGAGAAGAGGCCTCAGAACAGAGCCCTGGGCACTCCAGCATGAAGGGATGGGAACCCGTTGAAAAGGCCTGAGCAGGGGGGACCTGGGAGAGTGGGCTGTTTGGGAAGATGAGGGGGAACGCACCTGTGGGAGGAGGGAGGGGACAGCTGCTGGGACGGCTCCAGGTGTGAGTGGGCAGTGCCAGTGCTGATAGGCAAAATGACCAAGTCCACTCCATGTCGGAGTGCTCTTTCCTGCTCCTGGATACCTGTGCTGGGGTCGGCCCCTTCCTCTGGGCAGTCAGAGTCTGGTGCTGTCCGTGTCTAGCAGACAGCAGCCCAGCTAACTCAGGCTGGCATCCCAGCTCCCACTTTCAGTTCCTTGGCACACGCTAGATGTCAGAGGTGCCCCTCCCTGCTCCTCAGGCTCCATCTGTCTAGGCTGCCACAAGAAATGCCCACAAGCTTGGTGGCTTCAAATAACATAAATTCACAGTTCTGCAGGCCAGAAGTCCAAAATCAGAGGGCGAACAAGGCTGTGGTCCCTCTACAGACTAGGAGAGGGTCCTCCTTTGTCTTCTGGAGCTGCTGGTGGCTCGATTGTTCCTTGGCTCTTGGTCACGTTACTCCAGTCTCTACTTCTACCTGCAGATGGCCTCTTCCCATGTGTTTCCCTCTCTTTTCTCCTGTGTCTTCTAATGACACTTGTCAGGATCCACCCATGTGACCCAGGATGGTCTCATGTTGAGATCCTTCAGTCATGTATGCCTGAAAAGACTCTTTTTCTAAGCACTATCACACTTGTGAGGGTTAAGATATAGACACATGGTCTTCAGGGCTTCTATTCAGCTGCTTATGCTAGGTGAGGGCCAGGACCCTCCCCTTCTGTGTAGAGGTGTGTGGATGGGGCGGTTCCCAGCACATTTCCCTTGGCCATGGTCCTCTGCCTTCGACAAAAACCCCACTTCAGCATCTAGTTATGCTAGACAGAGGGATTGCCGTTCTGCTGCAAGCCTGGGCCCAGGGCTCCTGCCAGTGCAGTAATGTGGCACGGTCCCCTGCGATGCTCCTGCTGCCTCCTCCTCCAGGCACTGCCGTGGTGGATGAGCAGGCACCCCTGGAAGAGCCAGCTGTGTGAGATGGTGCAGCCCAGCGGTGGCCCAGCAGGGGACCAGGACGTGCTGGGTGAAGAGTCCTCTCTTGGGAAGCCGGCGATGCTGCAGCTGCGCGCGGAGCAGGGCAGCCCTGAGGCCCTCCAGCGCTGTCTGGAGGAGAATCATGAACTCCGAGGTAAGGATGGGGGTGGGGGCTGGGGGGTGGTGGGGGGGGTGCACCTCTGCATCTGTGTTTGCAGCGGCTCAGCCTCTCTGCATTTCAGCTGGGGCTCCCTGAAGCAGATCCTGAGTGAGATGAGTGTGCAAGTAAGCGTATTTAGAGGAGTCTCAGGACCAGGACTGGGGAAGGACAGCAGAAGGGGCGAGGTGAGCACAGGGAGAACAGGGACTGCTAGAGGTGACATGGCCTTCCCAGTTGGGCACATGTGGCTGGGCCTGTGTCCCTGCCCTGGGCCATCCAGGAGTGCTGTCAGGTCAGTGAGGGGTGTGGTCTGCTCTGAAAAGGGGCCTGGCTCCCCTGGGAAGCCACCATTTCAGTGTCATTAGTCAGTACCAGAGTCATCATCAGTCACCACCTTGGCTGGGTCTTGGCCTCAGTGGGAGGCCTTCTGTTCTCGGGCGGGTGGCTGGGGACTGAGTAATTTCCTAGGCCACCCTGTGTATTTCTGGAACGCCCCCCACCCCATCCTGGCACTGGTATTCAGGGGCAGCTTCACCCCGCCCCTAGCATGATACCTTCCTCCTTGTACCCTCTCCTCATTGCCTCCCCTCCTGCTCAGGGCTCAGGATTGTGACCCCCAGCGATGAAGGGACCCCCTTCTGGCCTACTGGTCCTTTGGCATGAGTGAGCCTCAAGTGCCCAGGTGACCCCATAGTTTTTAGATCATCAGGACACTTGCTGCGGGCACCTTGGAAACCACCTGGGCCAGAGGTGCTGGGGGCAGAGGCACAGACCCTCTAGGGATTACTGTGAGCATGACCATTTTTTGTGCCTTGATTCTTTTGGGGGACTTGGGCTCAGTGCACACCGCATCCTGGAGGACTGCACCCCTTCCTTATAGGATTCTTTCTTGAGCTGGTGTCTTCAACTGGCCCTCATGTCCTAGCTGGCAAGGGCAGTGTCTGCCTATGGCCATCTTCAGGCATGTTGGGGCCCCCCACCCTGATCTTGAAGTCAGCAAAGATGCAGGCCTGGGAGGGCAGGTGCACCTTGGACTGACCCAAAAGCAAATGAATGAAGTGTGCCTTGCAGAAGCATAGGGACAGATCATTCATGTAATGACTGTGGAAGATTTGAAAAAATCTTGTTTAGATGGCTGTCTGTCCTGGGGAGTGGCAGTCTAGCATTGTGGGGAGGGGACCATGGTGGGTAGCCCAGCTTGGCACCCAGGCTGGGTTGTCAGGACCACCTCTCCTCTGCCGTCTCCTCTCCCCCAGATGCCATCCGGCAGAGCAACCAGATGTTGCGTGAGCGCTGCGAGGAGCTGCTGCACTTCCAGGCCAGCCAGAGGGAGGAGAAGGAATTCATCATGTGCAAGTTCCAGGAGGCCAGGAAGCTGGTGGAGAGGCTGAGCCTGGAGAAGCTGGAGCTGAGGAAGCAGAAGGAGCAGGCTGTGCAGGAGGTGGAGCAGCTGAAGAGATGTCAGCAGGTAGCTGATGAGCAGGCTGGGTCACTCTGGGGAACCCTGTTGTGTTCAGAAAGTTGCAAGGAGCCTGTGGCTGGGGGTCCCCCAAAGCAGCAGGCTTGGCTCACGGGGGACTCTGGGACCCCACAGACTGTTAACAAGAGGACACCCTGGTGCAGGTGTCTGGGGCAGGGGCCAGGAGTGGCCAGGCGGGAGTGTCTGGGGGCCTGGGAGGTGAGGTGCAGGTGGCTTGTGTGCGGCCTTGTCGCCCAGGAAGCCCCCCCGAGCCCTGTGTCTGGGGGTCTTACTGGGTGGGTGGTGTAGGCTGGGAGCGCCGAGTGGCACTGTGCTGCCCAAGGTGCCTACGTGCATGGTGGTGCCAGCGTAGACTGCCTGGCAGGACCTCAGGCCCCAGTAAACTAGGGCACTTTCACCCGGCAGGGTCTTCTGGGGGCTTAGTCCCTGCCTGGGTGGGGCCCCCAGGCTCACGGTGTGGCCCGGTCCTGGGAGTTATTGTCCCCAAAGGATGGGATGCTCAGTGTGGGCAAAGGAGAATACCTTAGCCTATCTGACTTGGCCAGTGGTAGGACTCCAGTGATAGTAGGTAAGCAGGGGTGCGAAGTCTGGGAGGGACAGGGCAGGGAGAAGGGGCCCTGGAGGATGGGCACCTCACTGTGGGCAGTGCCTGGCTCAGGGTATTGCTTTCCTGTTGGGGACTTATGTGAGTTTGCCAGGGCACACTGGGGACCTAAACAGTAGCAATTTTCTTGTCCCACAGTTCTGGGGTCCAGGGGTCTGAGGTGAAGGTGTGGCAGGCTGGGTTCTTTCTAGGGGTCATGCAGGAACCTGGCCCAGCGCCTGGGGGGCCCAGCGGTCCTTGGCACTCCTGGGCTGGCAGCCTCTGCCTCTGTCATCTCAAGGCCACCTCCCTGTGTGTTCCCTCCCCTCTTTGTATAAGGACTCCAGTGTCAAATAGGAACAAAAGTGGGCATTTATCAGAGCCCCAATAACAGACTGTTCAGTGACGACTGGCAGCGGAGAAAGAGCTGAGCTCTGGGAGCACCTGCAGAGGTGACCGGGGGTCCTAGAGAGACCAGGGGCTGCAGTGTGGCTCAGAGGTGGAGAGTGCATTTAGCATGCATGGGCCCTGGGGTCCTGTCACTTTCTGGGCGCTGGGACAGCTTAAAGGAGGAGGGATTGTTTGGCTCTCAGCTTCAGAGGGTTCAGTCCACGGTTGGTCAGCTGCTCCAAGGCAGGAACAGCGTGGTAGAAGGGCCTGGTGGGGGAGAGCTCCTCACCCATGGCAGCCAGGAAGCAGAGACCAAGCAGCACCCCCTTGCTCCAACAGCACATCAGCCACAAACCCATCCATGGGTGAATTTGCTGATGATTACAGCACCCTGTGATCCAGTCACTTTCCAAAGCCCCGCCTCTGGGCACAGGCATTTGGGGACATTCTTGATCCAGAGCATGACAGGTTCTATCCCCAGCATCTAAAGATGAGAGAGAGGGAAGGAGGCAGGGAGGGAGGGAGAAAGTGTGTTGGGTGGGGAAGGAAGCTCAAGTGAAAAATGACTAAGGGTGTCAGTGAGAGATAAAACAGAGTTAGAACCATGCCCTCCCCTGGAGCCCTCGACACTCTGGTCCTGCTCCTTCTGGTAGTTCATGTCAAAGGATTGCTCTCAGGTCTGAGAGGGACACTGCTGAAGTGTGGCACATGCAGGCATCTCAGAGGGACAGAAGGATTCAGCAAGGGCTCCAGGGAAGATCAGAGGCCTGTGTCAGGTGCGGCCAGAGGTGCCCAGACAGACCGGGGCAGGGCCTGGGCCATCCTAGGAGTGTGGCCAGGGCTGCCAGGAGCTGTGTTGCATTTGGTCAGGCCACAGTGCAGGGCATTGCATGCTGTGCGGTTTTTGCAGTTCTTGGTGTTTCCTAAGATTCAGCAGCCAGTAAGATTCCCTGATTGGCCAAGCCTCTCACCTTCTCGAAGCTGTGGGTTGGGCCTGTTTTTTTTGGTATTGGGGATTGAACTCAGGACCTTGCACTTGCCAGGCACGTGCCAGGCAGACGCTGTGCCACTGAGATAAATCCCCGGCCCCAGGGCCTGTGTTTTTGTTGCTATCCTCAGGTCCCAAAGCAGCTGAAAGGTTCCTGCTGGGGCCACAGCCATGTGATCTCGATGTTCAGCCCACATGGTCTGGTAGCCAGGGCAGTAGCAAAGCTGTTGCAGTGTCCAGGACTCTAGGAGCTCTGTGCCCCTACATCCCTTTGGGGTCTCCTCTGTCACCTCAGCCACAGGGATGGGGCGGAGACTCTGGAGGCGAGGGGTCCTAGAAATCCATCCTTTTCTGTTGCCTGGCTTGCTTTGCTGGCTTGGGGAGCTGCCAGAGGTGGAATGGGACAAGTGGGGTGGTGGGACACTGAGGAATACCTATCTGCCAGTAGGGAGGGTAGGGGTGGCGACTGGGGGGTCAGGTGGCTATTGGGTCCCTGAGGCACTGGCGTGCCTGGGTTTGGGGGTGCTGGGTGCAAGAGAGAAGCCTTCAGGTGTGTGGGCCTCAGCTGCTCCTGGGCTGCCGCAGGCCTTGGGAGAAAGCAGTGCTGACAGGAAGTGATTCTACTGCAGCAGATGGCTGAGGACAAGGCTTCTGTGAAAGCCCAGGTGACATCCTTATTGGGGGAACTCCAGGAGAGCCAGAGCCGCTTGGAGTCCGCCACCAAGGAACGGCAGGCTTTGGAGGCCAGGTGAGTGGCATTTCATGGGCCCCAGCCCCAGTACCATGGGTGCGTCTCTGGGGATGGTTGCCGTCCTGGCTGAGAGTCACACAGTGCCAGTGCAGGGGCCCAGGGAGACTGCAGAAGCCTCGCAGAGCACCCTGCGGATATGCAGCATCCCCTCTCGTCTGGCAGGCAGGTCACATGGGGCCTGTGGCAGGTGCGCACTGAGATACCTAACCTGCACAGCGGAAGGCGGGTGCTCCGCGTAGGCCTTGGGGCTCGGACAGATTGGCACAGCGCAGCCTGGCCTCATGCCTGCCTCTTTTGCACAGGGGGTCTAGTGGCCATAAGTGGGACATTGGGTCAGAGGGCAGGGATGCTACTGTGGTTCTCACTGCCTTGTTATGTCTTCCACATGTGGGTGCCCTCCCAGTGCAGGGGGTGCAAGGTGCCTGGCCCTCAGTGTGCCTTCTCCTGTGTAGGGCGCGGGTGGCCAGTGAGCAGGTGCGCCAGCTGGAGAAGGAGCGTGAGGTGCTGCAGCAGCAGCACAGTGTGCAGGTGGATCAGCTGCGCATGCAGAACCAGAGCATGGAGGCTGCACTGCGTATGGAGCGCCAGGCCGCCTCAGAGGAGAAGTGAGTGGGCACCAGGGCGTCCCACCCAGCCACGGGTCTCTGGGCCCCAGGGATTGGCTGTGCCACAGTCCCCATGCATCGTCTACCGCATGGCTGTGCTGCTGCTTTCCCGCCGTGTGCCCTTTCAGTGTCTTTTAATCCAGGGCGGCCTCCTTGCCTTTCTGTGCACTGTGTGAAGCTGATGCTTTTGAAGAGTACAGATTGAGTCCGTTTGATTACAGTCACCTCACTTCCTTATCTTCCTTTTGGTTCTGGGCCTTGCACATGCTGGACAGGGGCTCTGCCAGCATGCTCCATCTGTGCCCTTGGTACAAACATTATAAAATGTTGGGTTTAAAGAAAGTGATATGATGTAAGTGACCATGTCAGTTGTGGAAAATACTTGCAGGGCTGTCTCAGAGGTGGCGGCCTTAGGGGGCCCAGCTGTGTGCCTGGAGGTCCCCTTCCGGCTCTGGGAGGTAGATGCAGGCCTGAGACCAGCCACAGCTCCTGTTCACAGGCGGAAGCTGGCCCAGCTGCAGGTGGCCTATCACCAGCTCTTCCAGGACTATGACAACCACATCAAAAGTAGCGTGGTGAGCGGTGAGCGCAAGCGAGTGAGTATGGCGGCTTGGGCCATCCAGGGTGAGCCTTGGCCCTTCCTGTCACCACAACACAGTTTGGCCTTTGGGAGGGACAGTGTGTGTAGCTGGGCCAGTTCAGGAAAGGCCACTGGACAGGCCTTGGGGTGGGCTTGGCCCCACCCTTGGGATTCTCTCCCTGGAGGGCAGGAGATACACTTGTTGCTGAGGCCAGGTTTCCTGAGCCAGGGTACGTCTGAGGAATGCTTGTACCCTGGTGTGGCAAGGCAGCTGGGAGCCCTCTCCTAGTCTGTCCTCACCAGCCCTAAACTGGTGATTACGTGTCAAGAAGGACATTGTCAATGTGAATGCATCCACAGGAGATTTGTAAGGATTATGCCTCAAACCAGGTCACAGGAGGAAGAGTTAGTTATAAAAATGGCCACTTAATCTCCAGGGGGAAGTCAGTCTTGGGAGAGTGCGCATGTGCATGTGTCTACGTGTGGGGCCCCTGTGGGACAAGTGGGCTCTGCCTAGGTGCCAGAGTGGGGGACCAATAGGAGGTGGCTCAGCTGTGTGTGCAGGGGAGGAGGGTGACCCTGTCTTCGAAGGGTCACAGGTCTATCCGGCTGGTGACTCTGAGGGGAACGAGTATGGGGGAGGTGGCGCCCCATGGCCTCAGAGGTCCCCTCAGTCCCAAGGAGAACCTTGCCGCATCCTGTCCTGGGCTGGGGTGGGACACGGGCTTCTCCTCTCCTCACACAGTAGTGGGGTCGCATGACCGGCTCCGTTGCTCTGGCTGCTTGCCGTCCTCACTGTATTAGTGCCCCGGAACTCCTAGGGGATGCAGCTGGAGGACCTGAAGCAGCAGCTGCAGCAGGCCGAGGAGGCCCTTGTGGCCAAGCAGGAGGTGATTGACAAGCTGAAAGAGGAGGCTGAGCAGCACAAGATGGTGATGGAGACGGTGCCAGTCCTAAAGGCACAGGTGAAGCCCTCCTGTAGATGTCGTCTCGAGTGGCCTCGTGTTCTGTGGGCCACACTTCCCTTGCCTCTCTGTGCCTGTGGGGTCATTTGCTGGCCCGTCTGCTCCCTCTGTTGCCAGGGGCTGGGGCCAGGGGTGGGGGTGGCTCAGCTCTGTCCCCAGGGCCCAGGAGGGCCCACTAGTGGCTAGTGGCACGTCCCTCTCATACCTGCCAGGCGGACATCTACAAGGCCGACTTCCAGGCAGAGCGGCAGGCCCGGGAGAAACTGGCAGAGAAGAAGGAGGTGCTGCAGGAGCAGCTGGACCAGCTGCAGCGCGAGTTCGGCAAGCTCAAGGCCAGCTGCCAGGAGTCGGCCAGGTGGGGCTGGTGTGGGCCCTGGCCCTCTGCCCTGCCCCAGGGACCGTGGCCACTCCGGGGGGAGCTCCTAGCCCTGCCTGCATACACACTGAGCGGACAGTTGGCATCTCCCCAGGATCGAGGACCTGAGGAAGCGGCATGTAGAGGTCCCGCAGCCTGCACTGCCCCCTACCTCTGGTGAGTGGTGTGCATCAGGTGTGTATCAGGAGCCCGGCCCCGGCTCTGGATGGATGTCGCGCTGTGGTGGCTGATGGTCACACGTGGATAGTGACCCCTTCAGCCAAGGCCCCAGCACCTTGCTGTCCCATTTCTCTGACACCCAACTGGCCTGTTCTCTGTCCCCAGTGCACCACTCCTTTCACATGCCCAACCAGAGGAGGAGTCCCCCTGAGGAGCCCCCCGACTTTTGCTGTCCCAAATGCCAGTATCAGGCGCCTGACATGGACACCCTGCAGATCCACGTCATGGAGTGCATCGAGTAGGACCTGCTGCTGCCACACCTGGGACCTTGCCACCTTTGCCACCCTTCCCAGTCCAGAATCGAGGGCTTGGTGCCACAGAGCAGGTCCAGTGGGTAGCTGGCTTCAGCCCTTTGCTCTTCCATTCCTCTCCTTCCCTTCTGTCTGCCTGAACGGCTCGCCTCTCCTGCCAGCCCCCAGAATCCAAGAGGGAGAGGCTCTAGAGATGGGGAACCTCCCCAGCGCCCGCCCTAGCACTGCCTCTCCTGGCGGAGCTCCCATGGGGCACCTGCCCGTGGCATTCAGCCAGTGCCACTGGTGGGCCTTTGGGTCGGTGCCAGTGTTTCTGCTCAGAAATAATGGTGCAGTGAAAGTGCTGGCACACTATTCATGTGTGTCTTTGGGCTGGAGGTCAAGAGGTGGAGCTGTGGCCTCTGAGGGCTGGGCGGGTGGACCTCTGCTTTGCGGCCATCCCAGGGCCCTTTTCCCCCAAAAGTGGAAGCCTCTTTCCCAAGGGCTGCTGGGGCCATTTTACTCTGGCTGTGAGCAGGCTGCCCTTGTTTTTCAGCTGTTTTTCTATTGGGTTGTTGTCTTTTCTTTCACGGTTTTTAGCAGCACTGTGGTCATTGGGCAAGAGGACCTCTTGTCTGTGATAGAAACTGCACACATCTTTTCCCACTTTGTTTTTGCTACCAATGGTTTTCGGCCTTGAAGGTTTTTTGGGTTTTTGAGGCAAGGTCTCACTATGTATCCCAGGCTGGGCTCAAACTCCTGATCCTCCTGCTTTAGCCTCCTGGGGTGCTGGGATTACAGGTGTGCCCCCTCTGCCTGGCAGAGGTTTATATTTTTATGTAGTCATGTCCGTTTTCTCCCTTGTACGGCTTTGAGTTTGGAGTTGCCAGCCCTCTGTGGCCTGCCAGAGGGGTGCTTCACGCTTGTACACTTTTCTTCCACAAGCACCAAAGTGTGCCCTCGCCTTTGCATTGTGTATATTGCCTGGTGCTGGTGGTGACCACAGTCCATCATGTTCTAGAAGTCAGTGATGCCATGTCCTCCACTAACCCCAAATGCCCTGGCCTTACAAGTGGAAGCCAGTTGGCACTGATGGATAGATCAGGAACAGTAGGGCATTCTTCACTCTGCGAGAGGTTCTGGGCACTTGGAGGATGGCACAGCAATTCTGGTGCATGGAAGAAAGCTGAAGTTGGGAAGGCCTGCAGTGCGCATGCAGCCCCAACTCGGCCCCACCCCCACATTCTTTGGACCAGTACTTCCTTCTGTGTGCCTGTGAGAGGCCTGGCTGCTTAGTCTCCAAGGCCTGTAGAGATCAGCCTGAGTCTGTAAGGGCAGCAAGCAGCAGCCTTTCTGTTTCCTAAAGTCCAGGCCTATTACCCCCTGGACTTTGGGAAAGTACTGAAGGCACGGACAGGTTCTGTCATGGGCCCTGCGTTTCAGTCCTGGTCTTGCAACTTTTTTGCAAGAGCGCTCTTAGTTCTGTTTTACCATAAACCTGGTGGCTTAAGACAACAAAAACTCATTCTCTCATGTTTTGGAAAGCAGAATCTGAAGGCAAGTTGTTTCTTTGGTCTTTTTCTTTTTCTTTCTCTCTCTCTTTCTCATCTGTCTCTCTCTCTCATCTCTCTCTCTCTGTCTCTCTTCTTTTTTTTCTTGAGACAGGATCTTGCTATGTGGCCCAGGCTGCCCTGGAACTCTCCTGATCCTCTTGACTCACCCTCCTGACTCAGCCTCCTAGGTGCTGGGATGACAGGCACGTACCACCATGCCCATCTCAAGTTGTGTCTTCATGAGGCTCTGAGAATTAGTCCCAGGCCTGCAGCAAGCTTTGGGCAGTTGCTGGCTGTCTTGGTGTTCCTTGGCTTGTAGACCCCACCTTTTGGGCTCTGCCTCTGGTCATGTGGCCACCTCCTCCTTTGTCTGTATCTTATAAGGACACCACATCTAGGATTCAGGATCCTCTGGATAAGCCAGGTGATTTCACCTCAAGATCCTTACCTTCATTACATCTTCAAAGACCTTTTTTTTTTTTTATTGGTACCGGGGATTGAACTCAGGACCTTGCGCTTGTGAGGCAGGTGGCGGAACCACTGAGCTCAATCCCCGGCCCCTTCAAAGACCTTTTTCCCTAATCTCACACTCATAAGTCCTAGGGGCCAGGACCTGCACAGAGAGTTCAAGTCACCTTCAGCTCCAATTGGGGCAGACTCAGGGGCCTCCCTGCTCTGCATCTCTGCTGGAGGGATCTGGCCCGAGGGTGATGGTCACTGGGTTGCAGGCACGGAGACATCTGTCTCCAGGTGGATGCTGCCACCCGGGCCGGCGGATGGGGCAGGAGAGGCAGGCGTGTCACAGGAGGACAGGCTGTGGGGCACTGTTCCCCGGGTAATGGCCGCTGGCTATGGTGGAGGCTTCGTGCTTTGCAGGAGGGTGAACAGAGGGCTGTGTGAGCCCTCCCCAGTCAGCAGAGTGTGAGCGAGGGTCGCCTGGGGGCACCAGGTGGGGCAGGATCAGAGCTGGACCTAGGCCCTTCCTGCCGCCTGGCGGCACCCTATGTTGGACAGCATTCTACCACTGGCCCAGACCCAGGATGTACCGCTGCCTCTTCTGGTGCTACTTAGACTGGGGAAGTTCCCACAAGGGAACCCACCTCTTCGCCTTAGCAGCCATGGTCCCCACTGCATCCTGCTGCCCAGCGCCCACGAGAACTCCAGCTGGCCAGTGAGCCTGGTGTGAGCAGGACAGACTGCAGGCGCTCATGGGAGCGGAAGTGGTGTCAATATGGCAACACGTGCAGCCCTGGGCATGGCGCCCTGCCAGCAAGGCATGGCCACAGCCTTGTGATGTTGCCCCTCTGAGGGGATTGCGTGGTGAGATGGAGCCAGCACTGGGGAGCATCCTAAGACAGTTGGGTGCTAACAGCAACTTCTGCCTTGGAGAGGCTCACGCTCCATCCTCTGTAACCGCCAAAGGCCATACTGAAGTCAGAGACCATGAATCTGGTGACACAGGCCCACATAGCCAGCCTTTTAAGCATCTTGATACATACAATATGCCCTGGAGTTAGTGTGAAAAGACCTAGCCATGAAATTAATTGTAAAGTGTGAAATAAAGTAAATGCTGCAAGTGTGCACCCGGGTATCATTTGGGTGGATGTGGTGAGATAGCCAGTAATGAAAATTTCCTGACGTGTTTGTATATTTTCTCCATGCACAGTTGTGTGCATTACTTTGATCCAAAGTTAGCCTTTATGTTAGTGCAACTCAGATTTTCTGTGTGCCAGTGACCAAGGAGAGCTCACTGGTGATACAGCTTTCTTAATGGGGCAAGGGCTGGGCGTGGTGACGCACACCTGTCATCCCAGCACTCAGGAGGCCGAGGCAGGAGGACTGCTGTGAGTTTGAGGCCAGCCTGGGCTATGTAGTGAGTTCAAGGCCATCCTAGATGACATATCGACACCCTGTCAAACAAAAAGGTAAGTGGTATGGAAACACTGAGGTCATGTCCCACAATGACGAGGAGTGAAACTGCAGCCAGAAGAGGTAGGGTGCAAGGTGCAAACTAATTTATTTAAAAGACATAAAGACAAGGAAGTAAAAGATACAAAGGTGAGGAAGCAGAGCCCTTGCTGTCCAGGAGGGGTTCTGAGCAGGACACCACGGGGGCTCTGTGTCCAGGGTGTCTTAGGGGTTTGGGGTTTAGAAGGGCGTGTGGGGCTTTGTGTAAGCTCTGTGATCTCTATTCTGTAGTGAGGTGGGACAGAAGAAAGGTGGAAAGAGACAAGTCAACTATAAATTGTACTTTTTAAAAATTTTATAAATTGTACTTTTAGGAAGACTGCAACTTCCAGGACTTAGCCAAAATGACCCAAGGTGACCTATCACTAAAAGGCCATACATTGGCTCAATTAAGAAAGGAGCAGGCTGGCCAGGGATTTAGCTCAGTAGTTTTGCCGCCTGCTGCGCAAGCGCAAGGACCTGAGTTCGAGCCTCGGTACCAAGAAAGAAGACAAAAGGAGCAGGCTGAGAGGCTTCAGAGAAAGTTTGAGTTACCTATCTAAAACAAAGCCCTGCCATTCCTGAGGGACGAGCTAGTACCCTTCTTGGGAGGCACCACTTTTTCTTGGCTTTACATCCCAAGAAAAGTATAAACTTTCCCAGTTCCAAACTAATGTGTACCCACTCTCAAATGTGTCCTAGATCTCTGATAAACCTTTGTGTACCCTTTAGTGATACATCCACGACAGAAGTCAGCATCCTGCCACAGAGGGTGGGTTAAGTTCCTTAGTTTGGCTTTGGAATCTTGGACCCAACCTGGTGGTAACAGGAGACTTCACTTCCTGGGGTCCTGGCAGTGTGAGGTCTCTGGAGGCCGAGACTGCAGACTCCTCCTGGGGCTGCTGTCCTCACTGCCTAAGAGAATCTTAACTCCTGATTCACTAGTTCTGTTTTTGCAAGGGAGCCAGGTGAAATGCACACCTGTAATTCCAGCATTCTGGGAGGCTGAAGCCAGGGATTGCAAGTTCAAGCCCAGCTCAGGGAATTTAGTGACAGCAAGACCCTGCCTCAAAATAGATGTAAAAGCTGGGGATTTAGTTCAGTGGCAACATGCCTTCCTTGCAAGTGCAAGGTCCTGAGTTCGATTCTTGGTAATGGGAAAAAAATGTAAAAAGTGGGGCATGTAGCTCAGTGTGAAGGCCCTGGGTTCAATCCCCAGTACCTCAAAAGAAAGAACAAAAAGCTAGGCTAGGGACCACCAGATCAACACTTTTTACATGAGGGCTTGTATGTCCTGGATTTCCTGTGACTGCTGAAACAAAATACCACACATGGGGGAATTAAACAGCAATTTCTTGTCCCACAGTTCTGGGGTCCAGGGGTCTGAGGTGAAGGTGTGGCAGGCTGGGTTCCTTCTAGGGGCCATGCAGGAACCTGGCCCAGCGCCTGGGGGCCCCAGCAGTCCTTGGCACTCCTGGGCTGGCAGCCTCTGCCTCTGTCATCTCAAGGCCACCTCCCTGTGTGTTCCCTCCCCTCTTTGTATAAGGACTCCAGTGTCAAATAGGAACAAAAGTGGGCATTTATCAGAGCCCCAATAACAGACTGTTCAGTGACGACTGGCAGCGGAGAAAGAGCTGAGCTCTGGGAGCACCTGCAGAGGTGACCGGGGGTCCTAGAGAGACCAGGGGCTGCAGTGTGGCTCAGAGGTGGAGAGTGCATTTAGCATGCATGGGCCCTGGGGTCCTGTCACTTTCTGGGCGCTGGGACAGCTTAAAGGAGGAGGGATTGTTTGGCTCTCAGCTTCAGAGGGTTCAGTCCACGGTTGGTCAGCTGCTCCAAGGCAGGAACAGCGTGGTAGAAGGGCCTGGTGGGGGAGAGCTCCTCACCCATGGCAGCCAGGAAGCAGAGTTCGGTGAGCAGCTGGGGACAGGAACACACACTTCCAGGTCACCCCACGGACCCTCCTCCTCCACCAGGGCCCCTCCTAACAGCGCATCAGCCATGAACCCATCCACGGGTGAATCTGCTCATGACTACAGCACCCTGTGATCCAGTCACCTTCCAAAGCCCCGCCTCTGGACACAGGAGACTTGGGGGCGGCATTCTAGATTCAGACCATACCACTGGGTCTGGAGGAGGGGAAAGAAGAGGAATCAGGATGAATCTGGACTTGGGGCTTAAGCAGCTTGGTACCCTGGGCCACATACCAAGATGGGGACTGTAGGGAAAGGAGGGCAGATTGATAGGGAAATGATAGGATTGAGGCTGCAGTAAGCTTTCAGGCAAATCCTGATTAGAAAGAGTTAAGTCTTTGCTGGAAGGAGTAGTTAGGAGTAGTGGGAGAGCTGATAAAGCATGGCTCCACCAGAGACCCAACCAAAGTTAGCTGTTCCTCACCACCTGCAATAAAGTACAAAGGAGACAAAATAGGGAGGGAGCTACACAACAGAAAACTAACTTAGGACGTAAGATATATACTCATATCTGGACACTCATATATATGAGCACTATGTTTCTCTTGCCTTAATTGCTAACTTGACCTTATATGTATGGTCCCTCCTAAACAGCCTATACATTTCAGAGACAGGGCCTGACAGGACAAAGAAGACTAAACAAAGCTCACTGGGAAATTTGCGAGTAGACTATCTCAAATCTATAAAGAACTTAAAAAAAATCAGACCTCCCAAATTTAAAGACCCAATCCAAAACTGGGCATCTGAAATGAACAGACATTTCTCAGACAAAGAAGTAGACATGGCAAATAAACATGAAAAAAATGTTCAACATCACTGGTCATTGGAGACATGCAAATGAAAACAACGCTGAGATTCCACCTCACTCCAGAAAGAATGGCTGCTATCATGAAATGAACCAATAACAAATGCTGGTGGGGCTGTGGGGAAAGAGGAACCCTGCTCCACTGCTGGTGGGAGTGCAGACTGGTGCAAGCACTGTGGAAATCAGTATGGAGATACCTCAAAGAACTAGGACTGGAAGTCCCATTTGACCCCACTATTCCCCTGCTGAGTATCTTCCCCAAAGAATTAAAAGAATCATACCACAGTGATATATGTGCGCCCAGGTTCATAGCAGCACAGTTTGTAATAGCTAAAACTTGGAAACAGCCCAAATGCCCATCAACTGGCGACTGGATCAAGAAAATGTGTGTGTGTGTTTTTTTTTAATAAAATGGAGTACTACTCAGCCATCAAAAACGAGAAATTAGAGACATTTATAGCTAAGTGGATGCACGTTGAGGCAATACTCCTAAGTGAAATAAACAGGACACACGTGTAAATACCGAAGAGTTTCTCTGGTGTGAGAAACTGAAAGTGTAAATAAGGACTAAAAGGTATAATAGGTAATGTGAAATAGGAAGAAAAGGGGCAAAGGGGAAGGAAGAGGGAGGGCTAGGGGAAAAGAAAGGAGGGAATGGAATTAATATGAGAAAATGGAAACAAAGTCTTTGTAAATAGGGAAGAAAGGAGGGGTTGAAGGGAGGGCAGGGGAAGGAGGAAAAATAAGAACCAAGAGAGATTATGTAAAGGTGCAAATTTCCAATGATGAATGTCATTATATTGTATACCTAAAATGTACCAATAAAAGGATATACAAAAAACAATTTGCAAGTAGATGATGGTGAGAGGGTTGGGCCCTTCTGGCCTGGGACAGCCAATCAGGTTGTGATAAACTCTAGGGGAAGAGTTTTTCTTCCACTTGATAAAAAGAGGCTGAAGACAAAGGCCTTTGGGTTTTCTGACCCCAGACTCCCTACTCTCTCTCACAGGGTAGCTGTTTGTCCCTTCCTTTCCTCCTTTCCTGCAAATAAAGTGTCTTTCTTTCCTTAAACTTTGTCCCTCTAATTCTTTATTGGAACAGAGTTGATGATCCAAGCGAACAGCTCAGATAGCGAGAGCAATGAAGCCAGAGCTGCGGTGTGGTGTGCACACTCCGCACACCACAGAACCAGGGAGCCCCTGGGCTGGTGCTCCAGGAGAGCACAGCAGGGAGGGGCCAGCTGGGGCCCAAGCAGGAGTGGGGAGCCTGGCTGTCCGAAGTTGTCTTGGAGGCAGCGGGCTGGCTGCCGAGGGAGCCCTGTCTCGGAAGTCCAAGTCTTCAAGTCCAGTTCTGCTTTGGCCAGGGTTAGTGTGAGGAGTCATCTTCCTGGTTTTTCACATGGGGCCTGGAATCTGTGCCTCACAAGGCGGGTGGCCAGGGCATTGTGATAAACCTGCTGTGTGCTTTGCTGTGTGCCCAGCAGAGCTTTCTGAGGCTCTTAAGACTTAAGCTCCATCCCCAGCCTCATGAGGTTGGGTCCAGCCTTTTCTTCCCTTCCAGAAACACACAACACTTCTATATCTTCGTCCCTGTTGTCCCCTCTTTTGGGAAGGATCTGTCCTCTAATCCTGTTTTTTGAGACAGGGTCTCACTATGTAGTCTAAGCTGGTCTTGAACTCACAGCGATTCTCTTGCCCCAGCTTCCTGAGTGCTGGGATGACAGGTGTGTGCCACCACAGCCGGCTGTCCCCTAATCTTTGCAAGGCTGGCTTTTATTTGGTCATTCAGCTCTAAGGGTAAAATCATTTCTTTCATCTGAAGATTTTGTCCTAAATCACATTTCCCTGCTAGGCAGT